CACACACACAAACACACACACACACACACCGTGTTGTATTGTGCTGCTTGTTGCTGCAGCTGTAGCATAATTGTAGCCTGTTGGACACCCATCCACCCCCACCTTCACCCTCCTTCTCTCTCTCTCATTCTCTCTTGCACTCTCTCTTTCTCCCTCTCTCTATCTCTACCCCTCTCTCTCTCCTTCCTTCACTCTCTCTATCTCCGTCTCTCTCTCTCTCCCTCTCTCTCCCTCTCTGTCCCTCCCTCCAAGCACCCCATGGATGTAGATGCAGACAGCCAGGGCGTCAGTTCTGATTCCGCTACAGTGGAGCCTGGTATAGCAGGAGCCAACTGGCTTTACGTCCCAATACTTCCCAACAGGCTTTTTCTCCTTTCCTTTTGTTCATGATCATTGGCAGACAGAAGGACAAGTGTCCACCATGTTGCTTTCACCTAAAACATAACCTACCTCAGATCAATGGTACCATAACAAAAAGCCAACATCAGGACTATTAAATGAAGTGCTTTTTTATTGGGAGCATAGCCACCAAACCAAACCAATCAACTCCCTTCTCCCTCTTTTCCTCCCTCTCTCTTGTCTTCCTCTCCCCATCCCTCTTTTCTTCCCCCAGAGCCCGGCGGCCCCTCCTTCACCATCGGCAAGGCCATCTGGCTGCTGTGGGGCCTGGTTTTCAACAACTCTGTCCCCGTCCAGAACCCCAAAGGCACCACCAGTAAGATAATGGTGTCGGTGTGGGCCTTCTTCGCTGTCATCTTCCTGGCCTCCTACACTGCCAACCTGGCTGCCTTCATGATCCAGGAGGAGTATGTGGACCAGGTGTCGGGCCTCAGCGACAATAAGGTGTGTGTGTATGTGTGTGCATGTGAGTGTCTTCACCTGCCTGTCTGTCTGTGTCCAGCATTGCATATGTTTTCCAAGCCTCACAATAATGCATTAGGAGCATTTGATGGAACCCGATTTTCCACCTCCCCACACCAACCCCGGCTATTGTCTCTCATTTTCTCTTCTCTTCCGGAACCCCCCCACCCCCACCCCCACTTCACAGTTCCAAAAACCCAACGCCTTCTCCCCGCCATTCCGTTTCGGAACGGTGCCCAACGGAAGCACGGAACGGAACATCCGCAACAATTACCCAGAGATGCACCAGTATATGACCAGCTACCACCAGAAGAACGTGGACGAGGCCCTGGCAAGCCTCAAGGGAGGGTGAGAGAAGGAGAGGGAGGGAAGGAGGGAGGGAGGGAGGAAGGGAGGAAGGGAGGGAGGAAGGAAGGAAGGAAGGAAGGAAGGAAGGAAGGAAGGAAGGAAGGAAGGAAGGAAGGAAGGAAGGAAGGAAGGAAGGAAGGAAGGAAGGAAGGAAGGAAGGAAGGAAGGAAGGAAGGAAGGAAGGGAGGGAGGGAGGGAGGGAGGGAGGGAGGGAGGGATGGATGGAGGGTGAGGGAGAGGAGGGAGGGAGGGAGGGAGAACAGGTGAGGGAGAGGAGAGAGAGGGATGGAGGGAGGAGGGAGTGTGGGTGGGAAGCCAGCAGAGCTGCTGCTGTTGCTTGCTGCTGTCTGCCACTGCTCCTTAGCTCAGAATAGCAGCAAGCAACAGCCTGGTGGTTGGTGGTGGAGGCTGAGAGCTGATCTGATGTGATGGTCCTTCTTCCTTTCCAAGAATTAAGAATGCAGAGTGCGGGTTAGAACATTAGTGCTTCATATAGCCATCTGTGGGTTTCTGTTATTTTGGCTTGGTTGGGAGGGAGCTGGTTGAGCTGCTAGCTAACCACTGGTATTGTAAAACTGTTAGTCTGCATGGGTGTGTATAACTAACATGTTGTAGCCATGGGGAGTTGATGAGTTGTGGGTTTGTCACCTAAACCTGTCATAGGTCACTTACATTAAACAAAAATATAAACGCAACATGTAAAGTGTTGGTCCCATGTTTCATGAGCTGAAATAAAATATCCCAGAAATGTTCCATATGCACAAAAAGCTTAGTGAGCATTTCTCCTTTGCCAAGATAATCCATCCACCTGACAGCTGTGGCATATCAAGAAGCTGATTATGATCATTACACAGGTGCACCTTGTGCTGGGGAAAATAAAAGGCCACTCTAAAATGTGCAGTTTTGTCACACAACACAATGCCAAAGATGTCTCAAGTTTTGAGGGAGCGTGCAATTGGCATGCTGACTGCAGGAATGTCCACCAGAGCTGTTGCCAGATAATTAAATGTTAATTTTTCTGCCATAAGCCGCCTTTAACGTCGTTTTAGAGAATTTGGCAGTATGTCCAACTGGCCTCACAACAACAGTCCACGTGTATGACGTTGTGTGGGCGAGCAGTTTGCTGATGTCTACGTTGTGAACAGAGTGCCCCATGGTGGCGGTGGGGTTATGGTATGGGCAGGCGTTAGCTATGGACAACGAACACAATTGAATTTTATTGATGGCAATTTGAATGCACAGAAATACCGTGACGAGATCCTGAGGCCCATTGTGAGGCCCATTTTTTTTTTAAGTATCTTTGACCAACAGATGCATACAGTGGGGAAAAAAGTATTTAGTCAGCCACCAATTGTGCAAGTTCTCCCACTTAAAAAGATGAGAGAGGCCTGTAATTTTCATCATAGGTACACGTCAACTATGACAGACAAAATGAGGAAAAAAAATCCAGAAAATCACATTGTAGGATTTTTAATGAATTGATTTGCAAATTATGGTGGAAAATAAGTATTTGGTCAATAACAAAAGTTTCTCAATACTTTGTTGGCAATGACACAGGTCAAACGTTTTCTGTAAGTCTTCACAAGGTTTTCACACACTGTTGCTGGTATTTTGGCCCATTCCTCCATGCAGATCTCCTCTAGAGCAGTGATGTTTTGGGGCTGTCGCTGGGCAACACGGACTTTCAACTCCCTCCAAAGATTTTCTATGGGGTTGAGATCTGGAGACTGGCTAGGCCACTCCAGGACCTTGAAATGCTTCTTACGAAGCCACTCCTTCGTTGCCCGGGCGGTGTGTTTGGGATCATTGTCATGCTGAAAGACCCAGCCACGTTTCATCTTCAATGCCCTTTCTGATGGAAGGAGGTTTTCACTCAAAATCTCACGATACATGGCCCCATTCATTATTTCCTTTACACGGATCAGTCGTCCTGGTCCCTTTGCAGAAAAACAGCCCCAAAACATGATGTTTCCACCCCCATGCTTCACAGTAGGTATGGTGTTCTTTGGATGCAACTCAGCATTCTTTGTCCTCCAAACACGACGAGTTGAGTTTTTACCAAAAAGTTATATTTTGGTTTCATCTGACCATATGACATTCTCCCAATTCTCTTCTGGATCATCCAAATGCACTCTAGCAAACTTCAGACGGGCCTGGACATGTACTGGCTTAAGCAGGGGGACACGTCTGGCACTGCAGGATTTGAGTCCCTGGCGGCGTAGTGTGTTACTGATGGTAGGCTTTGTTACTTTGGTCCCAGCTCTCTGCAGGTCATTCACTAGGTCCCCCCGTGTGGTTCTGGGATTTTTGCTCACCGTTCTTGTGATCATTTTGACCCCACGGGGTGAGATCTTGCGTGGAGCCCCAGATCGAGGGAGATTATCAGTGGTCTTGTATGTCTTCCATTTCCTAATAATTGCTCCCACAGTTAATTTCTTCAAACCAAGCTGCTTACCTATTGCAGATTCAGTCTTCCCAGCCTGGTGCAGGTCTACAATTTTGTTTCTGGTGTCCTTTGACAGCTCTTTGGTCTTGGCCATAGTGGAGTTTGGAGTGTGACTGTTTGAGGTTGTGGACAGGTGTCTTTTATACTGATAACAAGTTCAAACAGGTGCCATTAATACAGGTAACGAGTGGAGGACAGAGGAGCCTCTTAAAGAAGTTGTTACAGGTCTGTGAGAGCCAGAAATCTTGCTTGTTTGTAGGTGACCAAATACTTATTTTCCACCATAATTTGCAAATAAATTCATTAAAAATCCTAGAATGTGATTCTCTGGAGAAAAAAAAATCTCAATTTGTCTGTCATAGTTGACGTGTACCTATGATGAAAATTACAGGCCTCTCTCATCTTTTTAAGTGGGAGAACTTGCACAATTGGTGGCTGACTAAATACTTTTTTCCCCCACTGTATCTGTATTCCCAGTCATGTGAAATCCATAGAATAGGGCCTAATGAATTTATTTTAATTGACTGATTTCCTCATATGAACTGTAACTCAGTAAAATCTTTGAAATTATTGAATGTTGCGTTTATATTTTTGTTCATTATATCTCTTATTACTAGGCCCTGCAGTTTTTTCCTGATAATGCGACCTCAACAGGAAAACTCCAGAGCATGTACAGGCTATAACCAGGGCCTGTAGTTTTACTGGTTCAGTCATATGATCAGGAAAGAACTCCTAGCCCTGCACATAACCAATATCTACAATTGCTAACACTTTGCCTGACCAATACTGACCACTAACTATCCTCCACTATCTCCTTCCCTTCTCCTGCTCAGTAAATTGGATGCCTTCATCTACGATGCCGCTGTGTTGAACTACATGGCCGGGAGGGACGAGGGCTGTAAGCTTGTGACCATCGGCAGCGGGAAGGTGTTCGCCACCACCGGTTACGGCATCGCCATCCAGAAGGACTCTGGCTGGAAGAGAGCAGTGGACCTGGCCATCCTCATGCTGTTCGGCGACGGTAAAGCTCCAACTGACATGCAATTGTAGTCCTACGGTAGAATATAGAATATAGAATAGTAATGTATTAGTCCATCTGCAGAGATAGAAATTCTTCATCTGCTCCGCTCCCTCATCCCCTCCCCACTCCACAAGACAACACACAAACACACAACACACACATTTTGGGTAGGAGCACAGGTTCAGCCAACCACAGAGCAGCACCCCTGCAGCTACACATTTTAGTAGCAAGTGCCTAGCTCAAGGGCACAATGGCAGGAGATGGTACATGGGATCTTAAACCAGCTTCCTTCTGGTTGTTAGTTCATCTCCCAATTGCATTGTCGAATCCCAGGATTCGAACACTGGATGCTGGATACCACAGTCTTAATTGCACTGCTTAGTTCCATTGGCCTGTACATATTATATACAGTTGAAGTCGGAAGTTTACATACACTTAGGTTGGAGTCATTAAAACTCATTTTTCAACCACTCCACAAATTTCTTGTTAACAAACTATAGTTTTGGCATGTCGGTTAGGACATCTACTTTGTGCATGACACAAGTAATCTTTCCAACAATTGTTTACAGACAGATTATTTCACTTATAATTCACTGTATCACAATTCCAGTGGGCCAGAACTTTACATACACTAAGTTGTCTGTGCCTTTAAACAGCTTGGAAAATTCCAGAAAATTATGTCATGGCTTTAGAAGCTTCTGATAGGCTAATTGACATCATTTCAGTCAATTGGAAGTGTACCTGTGGATGTATTTCAAGGCCTACCTTCAAACTCAGTGCCTCTTTGCTTGACTTCATGGGAAAATCAAAATAAATCAACCAAGACCTCAGAAAAAGAATTGTAGACCTCCACAAGTCTGCTTCATCCTTGGGAGCAATTTCCAAACGCCTGAAGGTACCACGTTCATCTGTACAAACAATAGTACGCAAGTATAAACACCATGGGACCACGCAGCCATCATACCGCTCAGGAAGGAGACGTGTTCTGTCTCCTAGAGATGAACGTACTTTGGTGCGAAAAGTGTAAATCAATCCCAGAACAACAGCAAAGGACCTTGTGAAGATGCTGGAGGAAACAGGTACAAAAGTATCTATATCCACAGTAAAACGAGTCCTATATCGACATAACCTGAAAGGCCGCTCAGCAAGTAAGAAGCCACTGCTCCAAAACCGCCATAAAAAAGCCAGACTACGGTTTGCAACTGCACATTGGGACAAAGATTGTACTTTTTGGAGAAATGTCCTCTGGTCTGATGAAACAAAAATAGAACTGTTTGGCCATAATGACCATCGTTATGTCTGGAGGAAAAAGGGGGTTGCTTGCAAGCCGAAGAACACCATCCCAACCGTGAAGCACGGGGGTGGCAGCATCATGCTGTGGGGGTGCTTTGCTGCAGGAGGGACTGGTGCACTTCACAAAATCGATGGCATCATGAGGAAGGAAAATTATGTGGATATATTGAAGCAACTTCTCAAGACATCAGTCAGGAAGTTAAAGCTTGCTCGTAAATGGGTCTTCCAAATGGACAATGGCCCCAAGCATACTTCCAAAGTTGTGGCAAAATGGCTTAAGGACAACAAAGTCAAGGTATTGGAGTGGCCATCACAAAGACCTGACCTCAATCCTATAGAAAATGTGTGGGCAGAACTGAAAAAGCGTGTGCGAGCAAGGAGGCCTACAAACCTGACTCAGTTACACCAGCTCTGTCAGGAGGAATGGGCCAAAATTCACCCAACTTATTGTGGGAAGTTTGTGGAAGGCTACACAAACCCAAGTTAAACAATTTAAAGGCAATGCTACCAAAAACTAATTGAGTGTATGTAAACTTCTGACCCACTGGGAATGTGATGAAATAAATAAAAGCTGAAATAAATCATTCTCTCTACTATTATTCTGACATTTCACATTCTTAAAATAAAGTGGTGATCCTAACTGATCTAAGACAGGGAATTTTTACTAGGATTAAACATTAGGAATTGTGAAAAACTGAGTTTAAATGTATTTGACTAAGGTGTATGTAAACTTCCGACTTCAACTGTATATAAACTGTTCAATGTGTCCTATCTAGAGTCTATGGTCCACAGCATGTACAGTAGAAACACTGAGAAGTCTTGACGAGATACCTGGATGATCACCTCACTGCCTTCAGAGAAACGTTCTATATATTGAGTGTACAAAATATTAAGAACACCTGCTCTTTCCATAACATAGACTGACCAGATGAATCCAGGTGAAAGCTATGATCCCTTATTGATGTCACTTGTTAAATGCACTTCAATCAGTGTAGATGAAGGAACAGGTTAAGGAAGGATTTTTAAACCTTGAGACAATTGAGACATGGATTGTGTATGTGTGCCATTCAGAGGGTGAATGGGCAAGACACCGGTTTGAGTGTGTCAAGAACTGCAACGCTGCTGGGGTTTTCACGCTCAACAGTTTGTTGTGTGTATCAACAATGGTCCACCACCCAAAGGACATCCAGCCAACTTGACACAACTGTGGGAAGCATTGGAGTCAACATGGCCCAGCATCCCTGTGGAACGCTTTCGACACCTTGTCGAGTCCATGCACCGACGAATTGAGGCTGTTCTGAGCGCAAAAGGAATATTAGTTAGGTGTTCTTAATGTTTTGTACACTCAGTGTCTATACATGGACATGGGCAGTACACAACAATGGCTTGAATGCACTAGGCATTTTCTATCATAGCATGTCCCAGTTTTTATAATGTATGAGAGGTCATAACAGTGTGAGAGGGATATGGTCCAGATTGTTTCAGACAGTTGATAGTCTCTTGATACAAGAGGCTAGGGATTTGGTTCACCACTGAAAGTGAGCCTCACATACAGTAGCATACATCTCTACAGTATGTACCAGACCTGGGTTCAAATACTATTTGAAATAATTTTAAATACTTTACCTGTGATTGATTAAGCTTGGCTGGCCTAATGGACCAATAGAATATCCTCAAAACTAAACCCCGCCTCAGCAGGAACTCTAGGCAGGCTAGAGAAACCACTCAAAGTATTTGAAAGATTTCAAGTAGTATTTGAACCCAGGTCCGATATCTACTGCCAAATATATGTGGTCAGACGTTCATTTCATTCACACCTTAACGCGCTGTCAGAACATACTTTATATAAACGAGTACAGACCTCAGAGTTCACCCTCACTGGATGTCTGTTCAGGTGTCATCCCCTGTTATAATACATACAACATGGTTACGTGATGTATGTTTGTCTCGTGTGTGTGTGTGTGTGTGTGTGTGTGAGTCGTGTGTGTCATGCGTGTGTAAGTGTGTGTGGTTGTATGTATGCATGTATCGTGTGTGTGCATGTGTGTGTGTGCGTCATGTGATGACAGAGGGGCCAAGAATAGTGTCCTAGTTCCAAGTGGCAGCCTCTGGTGCATCTGGAGTGGATTCAAATAGCATCAAGTGTGGGCATGCTTATGTCTGGTGGGGGTAGGTCTGGTGGGGTGTGGGTCTAGTGGGGTGGAGGTCTGGTGGGGTGTAGGTCTGGTGGGGTGGAGGTCTGGTGGGGTGTGGGTCTAGTGGGGTGGAGGTCTGGTGGGGTTTAGGTCTGGTGGGGTTTAGGTCTGGTGGGGTGTAGGTCTGGTGGGGTGGGGGTAGGTCTGGTGGGGGTATAGGTCTAGGACATACAGATGTAGGATCTTAATTTGGCCAGTATTGTCGTAGCAAAATCATCCTGCAGAAATAGGATTTGAACGTTTAGTCCATAATGTTGCTTGATCGGTGGTTAGGATATTAGCTGGACAAAAGTAGGCTACATGAAATACTGTTAATATAAGCGTGTGTTAGTGTGGGTTTTCAGTGAATTTATGTATATCACTAATCTCATCTGCTCATCTGCATTTCAGCAACAAAAGAGTGATCAAATTAAGATCCTACATCTGTACATGGAACACATACAGAAGTGAATAGCTTTAATTAAGTAGGACACTTTTTGGACTTCTCCATTGATTCTATTCTACAGGACCAACTGAAACAAGAACAGCTCAAGTCTATATTTCAACCAGGTCTTGTGCAGGGGTAGGTGGAGGAGTATTGAGGTCAACCCAAAGACTGCATGTCCGGGCCTCCCGAGTGGTGCAGTGGTCTAAGGCACTGCATCGCAGTGCTCGAGGTGTCACTACAGACCCGGGTTCAATCCCGGGCTGTATCACAACCGGCCGTGATCGGGAGTCCCATAGGGTGGCACACAATTGGCCCAGCATCGTCCAGGTTAGGGGAGGGTTTGGCCGGGGGGCTTTACTTGGCTCATCGCACTCTAGCGACTCCTTGTGGCGGGCCGGGCGACTGCAGGCTGACCTCAGTTGAACAGTGTTTCCTCCGACACATTGGTGCAGCTGGCTTCCGGGTTAAGTGAACGGGTGTTAAGAAGCGCAGTTTGGTGGGTCATGTTTCGGAGGACGTACGACTCGACCTTCGCCTCCCGAGCTCGTTGAGGAGCTGCAGCGATGAGACAAGATCGAAATTGGGGTTAAAAAAGAATAAAGACTGCCTTCCTACATCTGAGGAGCTCAAAGTCAACTTGACACAACCTGCTGAGCTTCCTTCACGTCTGTCACTGTGGCCTACTTTAACAGGAAGTCTTAACAACCAGGCAGGCACAATCTGCTACCGTCCAGGCAGCGAGTGAGTTAGCACACTGTTAGTTACACAAGCACTAGCAGAGTGGGAAATCCCCTTTGGTAAGATACAGACTCTGGTGGCTCACATCAAACAAATCTCACTGGACATGTCCTCCCCGAATCTCCCTCAGCACCAATTCTATGGGGACATATTTTACGGTGGGACCGGCGATCACATGACTGTGTGTACTTCCTCCCGGACCCCAAGGACTAGCAGAAGTCCCATGAGGCTGTTGTTTCCCACATCAAGACCAGATAACGAACGACTTGCATAATCAATGATTAATGAAGATTAGCTGTGATTAGCTGTTATGTTGGGGGGACATAACACAACATGACATGCGTGTGTTGCACACACCAGGAACCTTGTTGTTCACTCCTGCACTGACTGTGCTCACACACACAGCTGTAATGGCCACACACACACACACAGTCACAATAACAGTCAAGGACAAAGACATCAGAAGCAACTTAATCAGTGTCTCACAATGTTCATTCCAGTCCACTGCACTGTATCCCTCTACTGTATCGCACTTCACTGTATCCCTCTTCACTGTATCCCTCAGCACTCATGCCTGATATTCATCCTCAAATACCTCACCTTTCAGCACCTACAGTTGAAGTTGGAAGTTTACATACACCTTAGCCAAATACATTTAAACTCAGTTTTTCACAATTCCTGACATTTAATCCTAGTAAAAACTCCCTGTCTTAGGTCAGTTAGGATCACCACTTTATTTTAAGAATGTGAAATGTCAGAATAATAGTAGAGAGAATGATTTATTTCAGCTTTTATTTATTTCATCACATTCCCAGTGGGTCAGATGTTTACATACATTCAATTAGTATTTGGTAGCATTGTCTTTCAATTGTTTAACTTGGGTCAAATGTTTTGGGTAGCCTTCCACAAGATTCCCACAATAAGTTGGGTGAATTTTGGCCCATTCCTCCTGACAGAGCTGGTGTAACTGAGTCAGGTTTGTAAGCCTCCTTGCTCGCACATGCTTTTTCAGTTCTGCCCACAAATTGTCTATAGGATTGAGGTCAGGGCTTTGTGATGGCCACTCCAATACGTTGACTTTGTTGTCCTTAAGCCATTTTGCCACAACTTTGGAAGTATGCTTGGGGTCATTGTCCATTTGGAAGACCCATTTACGAGCAAGCTTTAACTTCCTGACTGATGTCTTGAGATTTTGCTTCAATATATCCACATCATTTTCCTTCCTCATGATGCCATCTATTTTGTGAAGTGCACCAGCCCCTCCTGCATCAAAGCACCCCCACAGCATGATGCTGCCACCCCCGTGCTTCACGGTTGGGATGGTGTTCTTCGGCTTGCAAGTGACCCCCTTTTTCCTCCAAACATAACGATGGTCATTAAGGCCAAACAGTTCTATTTTTGTTTCATCAGACTAGAGGACATTTCTCTTTGTCCCCATGTGCAGTTGCAAACCGTAGTCTGGCTTTTTTATGGCGGTTTTGGAGCAGTGGCTTCTTCCTTGCTGAGCGGCCTTTCAGGTTATGTCGATATAGGACTCGTTTTACTGTGGATATAGATACTTTTGTACCTGTTTCCTCCAGCATCTTCACAAGGTCCTTTGCTGTTGTTCTGGGATTGATTTGCACTTTACGCACCAAAGTACGTTCATCTCTAGGAGACAGAACACGTCTCCTTCCTGAGCGGTATGACGGCTGCGTGGTCCCATGGTGTTTATACTTGCGTACTATTGTTTGTACAGATGAACGTGGTACCTTCAGGCGTTTGGAAATTGCTCCCAAGGATGAAGTAGACTTGTGGAGGTCTACAATTTTTCTGAGGTCTTAGCTGATTTATTTAGATTTTCCCATGATGTCAAGCAAAGAGGCACTGTTTGAAGGTAGACCTTGAAATACATCCACAGGTACACCTCCAATTGACTCAAATGATGTCAATTAGCGTATCAGAAGCTTCTAAAGCCAATACATCATTTTCTGGAATTTTCCAAGCTGTTTAAATGCACAGTCAACTTAGTGTAAGTAAACTTCTGACCCACTGGTATTGTGATACAGTGAATTATAAGTGAAATAATCTGTCTGTAAACAATTGTTGGAAAAATTACTTGTGTCATGCACAAAGTAGATGTCCTAACCGACTTGCCAAAACTATAGTTTGTTAACAAGAAATGTGTAGAGTGGTTGAAAAACTAGTTTTATGAACGTCCAACCTAAGTGTATGAAACGCAGACTTCAACTGTAGCGAATGCCCCGACCTAACCGACAACCAAGAGAACCGGAACCAACGGAACCAGCCCCCGAACCCGAAAGCAACCCGCAAAACCCCGAGAACGGCAACCGGAGCAGAAAGAACGAACCCCAGCCACAGAAGAAACACCCGAGAGACCACAAGAAACCGGAGCAGAACGAACCCAAATAGCACCCGAACGGAGAACCAACACCGCCAAGACAAAGGAACACAAACCGGAGCAACGAAAACCAAACCACCCGAACCAGAGACCGACCCGAAACCCGCACACCACCGAACCGAGCAGAACGAACACCGCAGAGACCCCCACACCAACCGTAGCAGAACCGAAACCGCCAAGACCCCCGCACCCCGAACCGGAGCATAACCGAACACCCCAGAACCCCGCACCCAACCGGAGCAGAACCGAACACCGCCAGACCACCACGAAACAACCCGCCAGACACACCGAACCGTAGCTAGAACCTAACCCGCCATGATACCCCCTCACCCAACCATAGTCAAACCTAAACCCACCAATAGTACCCCCCTCAACCCCTAACCTATATAACCTAACACCTCCATATACCCCCTCACCCCTAACCTATATAAACCCCTAACCCTCCCTATAACTACCCCTCACCCTAACCTATAAACCTAACCCCCATATACCCCCTAACCTGTACCATAACACTTTATACACCCTCCATATACCCTCTTCTGCTACACCTTATACTACAAACGAACCCCTCATTATACCCCTCTAACCTTAATACAATATAGGCTTATTTTTCCTTACGCTGCTCTAACCCTCTTTCCTGCTAGCTCCTTCTATCTCCCCCTAACCCTAGTATAGCCCAATACAACCTTTATACAACCTAACCCCTCCATACATACCCCTCCTAACCCGCTCTTCTGCTAACCCCCTGTATCTCCTGCTTGTCCCCCCAGGAGAGATGGAGGAGCTGGAGGCTCTGTGGCTGACGGGGATCTGCCACAATGAGAAGAACGAGGTGATGAGCAGCCAGCTGGACGTGGACAACATGGCGGGCGTCTTCTACATGCTGGGGGCGGCCATGGCTCTGTCGCTCATCACCTTCATCGCCGAGCACGCCTTCTACTGGCAACTGCGCTTCTGCTTCATGGGCTACTGCACCGGCAAGCCAGGCTTTACCTTCTCCATCAGCAGGGTGAGTTATTGGCTGGAGTGGAGCAGGACTTCCTGGTCTGGTTGCCAATATTCTGTGCTAATGCCACGTTCACGTCATGTCGGAAACTCGGGACCTCCGAGTTCAAATGAACGTAAGTTATTTGCGTAGAGCTTCCTATTGGTTGATTCCGATACTTCCCAAGTGGGAAACTCAAGTATAAGCTAGTCTGAAATTTTTGAATTTCCGACATGATGTGAACGCGGCATAATAAAACCTATACTAATAAGCTAATGAAACTTTGCTAACTGTGATAGAGACAGTAATAAGTAATGATACTGTATGATACCCTTTGAGCAAGGATAACAAATCTAGCATGACAACTGACTATGTGAATGCTAATAGAATTTAGGCTAATCCGTGCTAACGGTGCTAGCAAAACTAACAAACCAATCATTGCCAATGGGCCTTTTGAAAGCCCTTTTAATATGTAACACTAATGCTAAGGCATTTACAGTTAGCTACATGCCCATTGATTCCAGTTGTATAGAAGGGTAAAAACAAAACCTTATCACGGTGTTGTTGCATCTTTAAATGGGGACTGCTCTGGGGGGTGTTTATGCGGGTCATTTACCATGGCAGTTGTCATGGCAGTTATTATTGTAAGTCAGAGAGGTTGTTTACGCATTAAAAACAATTGCTTGAGGAACAATGTCATTTGCATAATGTTACCTTTTAAGAGAGGGGGGAATGTTTTTGTTGTTGCACGCTCATTGAGCTCAATTATCATTAATTTGAGAAACAGTCGCAAATGTTTACCTGGCTGAACTTCTTAAGAACTGTTTTCTCTACTGTATCCTTCCTCTTTTGGGAGCTCGACGATAGTTACTCTGTAATACAGCAATAATGGTTTTATGCAAAGTACATAAAATAGTTTACATGTAGGGAGAGCCTCGATAGAATACAAATTCTGTATTTATTGGTTCAAGCGTACAGGTGTTGATGTTATTTGGCCGTTGCATTACAGCATTGATTTTCACCCCCTACACTATTACAGACTACCAATCGTCTATTATTGCCGTCTGCAAGAGATAGTCCGCCAATAGTCTATTACAGATTTCCATGCCTGGTTTAGCACTCCAGTTGTGGAGGGACAGAGGGGGGGGGGGGGGGGGGGGGGGGGGGGGGGGAACGAGATAGTGTAGCGCTCAACCAATCTGGTTGAAAGAAAGAGAGGGCATATGATGAGACTAAAAGGAACAGATAGCATACGACAAGAGGTAAAGGAGATCTGTCCAAGAAAAATAATGATAAAAACATAAAAGGGGAATAGAAGGAACAGAGGAGCACAAAAGGAAAGATGTGCCAGCCGGTGTGCCAGTAACCTCTGTCCTATCACCTTTATAAAGGGATTGTGTGGACGTACGTAGAGAAATAAAGAAAGAAATCCCATTGGAGGAGAAGCTTCACCACGGTGACCAGGAGGCAAAGGAGATAAAACAAGACAAAAAAAGACACAAAGAACGAGTGAACGAAAAAAAGAAAGAGTGGAAAGAGTAGAAATAATAATCATGAATTCAGGGAGCCAGGGGGGCAGGGGGCCAGGGGGGCAGGGGGGCCAGGGGGGCCAGGGGGGAGGGGGGCCAGGGGGTGCAGGGGGCGGGGGGGCCAGGGGGCGGGGGTGCCAGGGGGCAGGGGGGGGCAGGGGGCAGGGGGGGGCAGGGGGGCCGGGGGGGCAGGGGGGCAGGGGGCAGGGGGGCGGGGGGCATGGGGGGCCGGGGGGGCAGGGGGGCCGGGGCGGGCCGTGGGGGGCAGGGGGGGCCGGGGGGGCCAGGGGGCAGGGGGGCAGGGGGCCGGGGGGGCCAGGGGGGCATGGGGGGCCAGGGGGGCAGGGGGGCCGGGGGCCAGAGGGGCCAGGGGGCATGGGGGCAGGGGGCATGGGGGGCCAGGGGGCATGGGGGGCCGGGGGGCCAGGGGGCATGGGGGGCCGGGGGGGGCAGGGGGGCAGGGGGGCCAGGGGTCAGGGGGCCAGGGGGGCAGGGGGGCAGGGGGGCAGGGGGCATGGGGGGCCAGGGGGGGGGGGGGGGGGGGGGGGGGCAGGGGGCCGGGGGAGAGGAGAAAAAAAAGAGATGGACTAAGAGATGGAGAAAAAAAAACGTTTTTGACATGACAGAGACCCATGTTTTCACTGGCAGGCAATGATCGTCGACCTTTCGTTTTTTTGTCTGGAATGGCATGAGACCGCCAACCCCCAGCGCTGATCCTAACATGCATGCCTTGATTTGTTGGCAGGTGTCACCTCTTAGAATTACTGTCCTCACAACGCCAAAACCACAACCAGATAATAACATTACATTTCAACGAACCACACCCGTCTTTCATTTCACGGAATATTTATAAATACTTTTATTGCTTGATAAATTTTCGTGATGTGTCTTTTACGAGAGGGGGTTGGAAAGCCCCATAAAAAGTGCTGTCAGCATGACATTGATTAAACGTATTGATTGGTTGATTCAAAACTAGAGGCTAAAGGCGCTCCTGTCATTATCAATCAAGTCTCTGATCTGCCCTCCCACACTGGGTCTGAGTGAGAGGAGGAGAGGTGAGGCTCTGAGCCTCTGCAGTGGCCAAAGCTCTGTCTGCTCCCCAAGGAGAACTTATTTATGAACTCACCCCTATTACTGTTTAATACTGTGTAAACAAGGTGACCAGACGAAACACTGCAATGCATTAACCTCTCTCTCTTTGTCTCTCCCTCTCATTCTATCTCTCTCCACCTTTCCACCTCCTGTCCTCTTTCTAATGCTCGTCCACCCATCTATCCTCTTTCTTTTTCGTCAATCTGTTTCTATGTTGGTTTCTTTTTCTTTCTATCTGTGTTCCCATGTTCTTTCGCTTGCTCCCCCTCTCCCCATAATGTTCTCTATCTCTCTTTCCTCCTGTTTCTCTACCATTCTCTATCCCTCCTATTCCTCCATTCCTCCAACAGGGCATCTGGAGTTGTATCCACGGGGTCCAGATCGAGGAGAACAAGTCGACCATGGACTCTCCATCGGCCACCATGAACATGAACATGAACAACACCCACTCCAACATCCTGCGACTGCTCCGCACCGCCAAGGACATGACCGCCATCCCGGGGGTCAACGGCTCGCCGCACACACACGGCGCCCTGGACTACGGTGGCCACCACCGCGGCGGCGGTGAGTCGCCCGGCATCTACGACATTTCTGAGCACCGGCGCAGCTTGCAAGAGCGCAAGGCCCCGCCGCCGCCATACCTGCCCGAGGACAACATGTTCAGCGACTACATCAGCGAGGTGGAGAGGACTTTTGGCAACTTGCCCCTGAAGGACAACAACCTGTACCAGGACCATTACCTGCACCACCACTCAGGCCCGGGACCCAGGCTGGCTCTGGGTATGTCCGGCCCCCCGCCTAACAGGCAGAGTAGCTTAGGCAGTACCAGTTCATTGGAGGGAGGGATGTTTGATTGTGACAGCTTAGGGGGAGGGGTAGCACCCATATTCACCACACAGCCCCGCGTTGCCTCCCTGACACACAGGAACACCAATAAGTTTGACCTGATCGCCGGCCACGCCTCGGCCTCAGGCTCCGGTCAGCAGGGGGGTCAGTTCAAGTCGAACGACCTCTACGGGAGGTTCTCCTTCAAAGGCGGGGCGTCCAGTTCTGGGTTTATCGACAGGGGCGGTCACGACAGGTACTGCGTGGGTGGAGGAGGAGGGGGTGGCGGGGGCTCTGGGGGCGATGATGTGTCGGATATCTCCTCGCACACCATCACCTACGGCAATCTGGAGGGCAACGCCAAGAGGCGTAAACAGTACAGGGACAGCCTGAAAAAGAGGCCCGCCTCAGCCAAATCCAGACGGGAGCAGGACGAGATTGATTACCGGAGGCGAGCCCACCACCATCACACCGTCCACCACCACTTCTCCCGCGGGCCCCTAGGACACCGCTCGGCCTCCCCGCCCCTGGCCCCCTCTGAGCGGAAGAGAGGAGGAGGTGGAGGAGGAGGGGGTAACTCTTCACCTTACTTATTCCGCGACAAAGAAAATCTAAGGGAGTTCTATGCGGAGCAGTTCCGTTCCAAGGAGGGCTCAGCCAAGTGGGAGCATGTGGATATGTCCGACGGGCCTTGTCCGATGGGCAGTGGGGGAGGAGGAGGCGGTGGCGGTATTAGTGGTAGTGGCATTTGTAAGAGCCTAGTGCCCGTGGAGGATTTCCTGAAAGGTAACAAACCCAAGAAGTCAGAGGGTACAAGTGGCGTAGTCGGAGGGATGGGCTTGGGGTCGTCAGGGCAACAGGCCCACACGTGTTGGGAGAAGAACATGTCTGAAGTGGGGGGTGGAGGCATAGCAGGGGGCGACTGGGAGTGTCGGAATCACAGTGGTGGTGGCGGGGGAGGAGGAGGGGGCAAGTCCATCTCTCACCATGGTGGAGGGGGAGGAGGGGGAAAGTCCATCTCTCACCATGGGGGAGGGGGAGGAGGGAGCACCTGTACGCATGGGGGCACTGGTGGCGGAGGGGGAAATAGTCGCCCAAGCTCTGCTACTTGCAAACGGTGCGAGTCGTGTAAGAAACAAGGCAACCTGTATGACATCAGTGAGGATAACCTCATATTTAGCAAGATGGGGGGTGGAGGGGAGAAGAGTGGTGACGCGGGGGGTGCTGGCCAATCACAAAGTCAGGCACAGCGCAGGAAGCTAGGGCCAGGTGGGCGGGTGTTACGGAGGCAACACTCCTACGACACGTTTGTGGATTTGCAGAAGGGGGGGGGCGGCCGCCGCATGGGCGGGGGTGGAGGAGGAGGTGGGGGAGGAGAAGGAGGGGGAGGGGGGCAGCTCCCCCCGCCCAGAAGCGTGAGCTTGAAAGACAAAGACCGCTACATGGAGGGTGTTAGCCCATACGCCCAAATGTTTGCCCAGTACGCGGAGAGGGACAGAGATAGTCCCTCCTTTTTCAGTCGGGGTGGTAGTGAGCGGGAGAGGGCGAAAGGAGGCTCCTCCTTCAGTTTGTTCCGAGGCGAACGAGGCGAAGGTGGGTTGCACCGTCGGTCGGTGGGGGAGAAAGACATGAGGGACAGGGATAGAAGAATGATGGGAGGTGGAGGTGGGGTGGGCGGTAGTGGCAAAGGGGCCGGGACTTACTCCTTGTCTAAATCTCTCTACCCAGATAAGGTGACCCAGAACCCCTTCATCCCAACCTTCGGCGACGACCAGTGTCTATTACACGGCGGCAAACCATACTACGTCAAAATGTCGCCACAGCAACAGCAACAACCGCCACAGCATCTCCTCAACAACAGCCGCGGGGACTTCAGAGGCTCCATGGGGTTGCCTTCCTATTTACCGGCATCAGCCACGACGGGGGTCATGTCCAACGTGACCCCCAGGTTCCCCAATGATCTGTGTCTTGGTGGAGGGTTGGGGGGGCCCATGGGGAACCACCATGGCCCCGGACTGGGAGGCAACAAGCTACTGCCGGTCAGGGACAGGGGGTTAGGGATGGTGGGGCAGGGCGGCCAGAGACCCTTCAATGGCTCGAGCAACGGCCACGTTTACGAGAAGCTCTCCAGTATGGAGTCTGATGTCTGAGAGAAAGAGATGGGGCTAGAGAACAGGATAATTGCTTCTCCGTCTGAGTAGAACAAATAGACGCTACATTGTGTACATCGTTCTCATATTTCTAACCGAGAAAGTTTAGTTGGACAATGGACACCGCGGACAGAGTGAAGGAGAGTGAAGGTACAGTCAAGCGTAACAGAAAGCGACACGACTTCTAATGAGGAAATGAGTGGATTCTGCTGCTTGACTCTGAGACTGTGAGGGAGGAGGAGAGAAATCTCTCCTACGTTTCTCCTCTCCTTCTTCACCCCCTCTTTTATCTTTCCCTCTCTTCCGCTCGCCTGCTGTTCCTCACACCAAAACAAAGGTTTTGTTTAGCTATCAGAAATACAATCAAATGAATGAAAAATCTAAGTAACAGGGTAAACTAACAATAATTGTATTGATAATGTTGTTAATAATGATATTATTGAATATAATTACAATGTTTAAGTTTGGGCTCTTTTTTTTTTTATAGTTAATGTTGTTTTATATTTGTACTGTTGTTAATTATTTGCTAGGCCACCATATTACAGGAGACTAGTAGAAATGTTACTTAAGTACCAATACTTTTAGGTTCGTGTAATTCAGATTTCTTCTTAATTCTTGATTATCCATGTTGAAAAATGTTTATTTTCTGTTCTTGGAGTGCTGTGAAAAAGTGTACTGTATGTGAAAGGCATGATTTGCTGAGTACATTCTCCATGTACTTGACATCTTATTGTGAAGGAGAAAGTCCTTATGTGGCATCATACTTGTTTGCAGTTTAGATTTCTTGTTTTGCCTGGGAAGTAGGGAGTAGTAGTTATCTCAGATACCGAGCGGGATGTGCCTTACTGAATTCACTACAATCATAAAGACATGAAGACTCCTCCTCCTATCGGTAGAAAGAGTGTTCATTCTGTGGACGATTCAGTTATTAACTAGTAATTCATAAAGTGGTTATCATGTTCTCTGAGAATCCGCTTAGCTGAGATTTTGCTTTAAACAAGATCCACCCACCTGAAAGGAGAGAGAGTTGCATCATGGGAGATGTAGTTTTCTGCTAGTTTCACTCGGGTGCTAGTCAAAAGGCTCTTATGGATATCAATAAACACACTGGACGATTTTATCATATACCATCATATCTCATCCTTTAGCTTTCCATAAATAATTTTGATTTACAGTTTTAAATCCCAACATATCACGAGTCCTTATATTCCCAAAGGTAAACTATCAATTACACTTTTATTTTTTTAAATTATTTTTTGGGCATAGATGCAGTATATGCTAAATGTATGTAAATCACCTTGTATGCCTATATGTTGCTGGGAAGCGATTAAATGGAGTTGGTTTCAATTGGCCTTGACAGTTTTCTACTTTTAAGACATGGTCTTAATGGACTGTTGGAACATGGCCTGGGAATGGAGAGATGAACAGCAGGACGTGTTAATTATTTAATTTTTATTATGGCAGTAAGCTGTTGCTGCTATATTGTCAAGACACATTTATTAGAAGGGGGATGAGTAGAAAGTGATGTGCTGTGAACACAGGGAGGAAAGAAAGTTCAGTTGGTTTATTTATTTATTTCACCCAATCACTGTACTGTTACTGTACTATATACTGCATATCTCTCCTTAATTCACGTCAAGGACTTGATCGAACCACTAATCATGTTTGACTTACTTAGAATGTGTTATAATTTCTGAGATAATTCAGATATTGCATATTGGTCACATGAGATGGGGATTGGGGAGAAAAATCACTATTTCACTATTTGTTTGCTTAAGTGAGCTTTTTTCTTTCCTTGTGAATACCAAAACGAATCAATCACTTTATACAGTCCACAAAAGACAGTCTGGATGTAACATTCAGTAAATCTCAGCAAACTTTCAACATTTTGCCGAAGATGATTATGGAATGTTTTGGCAATTTCCATCAATGGCTTGATACATACGTAGGATAAAAGGATCATGAAGTTTGTAAAGCTTGAGCATATGACCAGGGCATGATTACCATTAGCCTAGTAATAGCAAGAATACTTCATCTCTGCGTTTAAAATAAACTAAAACCTTATTTGAATTATTCTGTCTATTTCAAGCAGAACAACCACTTTTAAATTATCAGAGCAAATATCTTATGAATTTACAAATGTGATTGAAGGCACTGGACAGTATTTTCCATTTGGAAAATAGTCCTCACAACTGTCCTGGAAGTTACTTGGTGGAACGTGGAGAAAAGCAAACCCAATGCCATGATAGAAAGGAAAAAACGTTGAATCTCTACATAGCGTGGACAGTAAAGTTTTTTACCCCATTCTATAAGCATTGAGTCCAGTGGGTTGTTTATCATGCCTTTGCCAATGACTCTAGGTCGCTTCCATCAATGATAACCTAATGTCCATGGAAGATGACCTCAAAGCCACAAGTGATCACAGACAGATATCCAGGTCAAAGCTGTACTTATGTTCACTCTGATGTAATTGTTGTAATATACAATTTAGGACACCCCATATCTTCATTTTATTGATTCAATTTATTAAGTACTTGAAGTTATAGCTGTCTGAAATATTACATTTCTAAGTGATTTGTCGTATTGCCAAACCAAATTGTACGATCTAAGCACAATCAGTGTTATTGATTAGTTGATCAATACATGTACATCCCTATTGAAACATTTAAAGATTTTTCCTTCTTTCATGACTGACAAGTCAGTGTGTATGATATTGAGTCAGTGTATAAGGACGTGTTTGTAAGGACATGCATGCATCCGTGGAGTTTTTTTATTTGCCTTTTTTTACTTAGACTCTATTTTATCCCAAATGTTTGGGAATGATATCTCGACTTCTTATCGATTTCATTGATTCTGATCCTTGTTGGTGTGTGTTTGTCTGTGTAAAAAGACAAATATAATTTTTGCTCTCAGAATTTTCGTTATTTTCAAATATTTCAAATTCAGAAAACAGAAGTGTCAATAGGAATAATTGCTATGACAGAACTTGACAGGAAAATAGTTTCAACAGATGTATTATGAAACAAGAAGAGATGTAAGAGGAGAAGGACAGGCTTCTCTGCTCCTCTTGATGTTTGGTTGTAAATGCCTGTGAATGAGGTGAAGGTATTGGTGTTCTTTTGTTATGAAGTGAAGAACCATCTTTGATTTTAAATGTTTTTGCTTGTTATTTTTTCCTACAACCTCTCTTTCTTCAGTAAGTTGCATTCTTTATTTCTTTCTTTATTTCTGTTGTTGTATGTGCCTCAATACATACGCTTGATTACCTCTGTGTACTCTTGTGTGTGTGTGTGTGTGTGTGTGTGTGTGTGTGTGTGTGTCTGCACCCACGTGTGCATGGAAGAGAAAGCGCTAAAGAGGGAACTGTTGACTGAACTGTAATGCTGTATGTAAAGAACTTACCTCCCTCTCGCAGTCTTTTAATAAAAGTGTACAAAATGGCTGAAAGTAAGAACCTTTTGGGTGACATCTTTGATTTAAAGGTTCCCTGCTAAAATAGTTTTATAAAAAATGAAAGGACACATAAATTATGTGAAAGCTTGTACTTTGTTAAAAGAGTGCACACCTAAAGTAGTAGAGACTTTTTACAGCAAGTTGATGTATTTCCTTTCACTTTAATTTGGTCATAGACCGACATACACACTTGTTTTTGTTACACAACAAATGGTAATGACATTAGTGGCTATTACATAAGCACAACATCATGACTCTCTACTGCATTATTACAAGTTATAATTTTTCTTCTTTGGCAACCCTTTATTTTACGTGTTTCCAAGATAAAATTATAACACAACCATCTCAAGAACTGTACAGATTGTGAAAATGTATATATGACAAAACATTTCAGTCACTCTTTCATTTTGTATGGGAAGTAATGACATGTGTTAAAGAATAATAACAAATGTGATTAAATATTTAATAATATTTAAAATGAGGATAACTAAACACAGTCGATGTGAAAATGAGTGCTAAGAAATATTCTTCCTCTGTCTCTTTGTACAAAACAAAGTGTTGAGTATTAATAAAAAAAAAAAGGAAATGTCATTTGTGAAATTCCTACATTTTCTTATTTTTCCCCTCTAAACAGATTTCAACATTCGTTCATGGTCTCTCATTTGTCTGCGATTAATGATAATGTACAGTACCAGTCAAAAGTTTGGACACACATACTCATTCAAGGGTTCTTCTTTATTTTTTACAATTTTTTACATTGTAGAATAATAGTGAAAACCTCAAAACTATAAAATAACACATATGGAATCATGTAGGAACCAAAAAAGTGTTAAACAAAATATATTTTATACTTTATATTCTTTAAAAAGCCACCCTTTGCCTTGATGACAGCTTTGCACACTCTTGGCATTCTCTCAACCAGCTTCACCTGGAATGCTTTTCCAACAGTCTTGAAGGAGTTCCCACATATGCTGAGCACTTGTTGGCTGCTTTTTCTTCACTCTGCCGTCCGACTTACCCCAAACCATCTCAATTGGGTTGAGGTCGGGGGATTGTGGAGGCCAGGTCATCTGATGCAGCACTCCATCACTCTCCTTACACAGCCTGGAGGTGTGTTGGGTCATTGTCCTGTTGAAAAACAAATGATAGTCCCACTAAGCCCAAACCAGATGGGATGGAGTATCGCTGCAGAATGCTGTGGTAGCCATGCTGGTTATGTGTGCCTTGAATTCTAAATTAATCACTGACAGCAAAGTGCCAAAACTCAGGAACCACACCTGTGTGGAAGCACCTGCTTTCACTATACTTTGTATCCCTCATTTACTCAAGTAGTTCCTTTATTTTGGCAGTTACATGTACAGTACGTACGCTGTACCATTACATTGACTATTAATAGGTCCTGTTCTTTGTTGTCAATAACATTACGTCCTGTTCTTTGTTCTCAATAACATTACATTACATCCAGTTTTTTGACGGTTGTGAATAACCTTGTTTGTATTTTATTTGTGGGGGGTGAGCAAAGCACCCCCACACCATAACACCTCCTCCTCCATGCTTTACGGTGGGAACTACACATGCGGAGATCATCCATTCACCCACACCGCGTCTCTCAAAGCCACGGCGGTTGGAACCAAAAATCTCCAATTTGGACTCCAGACCAAAGGACACACTTCCACCGGTCTAATGTCCATTGCTTGTGTTTCTTGGCCCAAGCAGGTCTCTTCTTCTTATTGGTGTCCTTTAGTAGTCATTTCTTTGCTGCAATTCGACCATGAAGGCCTGATTCACACAGTCCCCTCTGAACAGTTGATGTTGAGATGTGTCTGTGACTTGAATTCTGTGAAGCATTTATTTGGGCTGCAATTTCTGAGGCTGGTAACTCTAATGAACTTATCCTCTGCAGCAGAGGTAACTCTAGGTCTTCCATTCCTGTGGCGGTCCTCATGAGAGCCAGTTTCATCATAGCGCTTGATGGTTTTTGCGACTGCACTTGAAGAAACTTTCAAAGTTCTTGAAATGTCATATCTAATGATGGACTGTCGTTTCTCTTTGATTATTTGAGCAGTTCTTGCCATAATATGGACTTGGTCCATAATATGGCCTCCTTTGGCCGCCATTCCTTCCAGTTCTCTGCTGCCAATGACTGGAACAAATTGCAAAAATCTCTGAAGCTGGAGACACTTATCTCCCTCACTAACTTTAAGCATCAGTTGTCAGAGCACCTTACCGATCACTGCACCTGTACACAGCCCATCTGAAATTAGCCCGCCCAACTACCTCATCCCTATATTGTTATTTATTTTGCTCATTTGTACCCCAGTATCTCTATTTGCACATCATCTCTTGCACATCTATCATTCCAGTGTTAATACTAATTGTAATTATTTTGCACTATAGCCTATTTATTGCCTTACCTTCATAACTTGCTACATTTGCACACACTGTATATATATTTTCTGTTGTATTTTTGACTTTATGTTTTACCCCATATGTAACTCTGTGTTGTTGTTTTTATCGCACTGCTTTGCTTTATCTTGGCCAGGTCGCAGTTGTAAATGAGAACTTGTTCTCAACTGGCTTACCTGGTTAAATAAAGGTGAAATAAAATACAATAAAATAAAAAAATGGTCTGGAGTCCAAATAGGGCTATCTTCTGTATACCCCCCCCCCCCCCCCCCCCCCCCCCCCCTACCTTGTCAGAACACACCTGATTGGCTCAAACGCATTAAGAAGGAAATACATTCCACAAATTAACTTTTAAGAAGGCACACCTGTTGATTGAAATGCATTCCAGGTGACTACCTCATGAAGCTGGTTGAGAGAATGCCAAGAGTGTGCAAAGCTGTCATCAAGGCAAAGGGTGGCTATTTGAAGAATCTCAAATATAAAATATATTTTGATTTGTTTAACCCTTTTTTGGTTCCTACATGATTCCATATGTGTTATTTCATAGTTTTGAGGTCTTCACTATTATTCTACAATGTAAAAAATAGTAAAAATAAAGAAGAACCCTGGAATGAGTAGGTGTGTCCAAACTTTTGACACTGGTAGTGTATATATTTTTGTATATATTGGAATTATCTGGCTCGAAGGACCAATACCTTAAAGCATCAGTCAGCAGTTGAAACAACAGAAAAGTGTACTCCCCGCCCCTGTTTCGGTTTGTAAAAAATTATGGGTCAGGAGAAATGTAACCACTCTCAGCTTCATAGACAGAGCTATGGATGCAAGGACTTACCAGCCATGCTAACAACATTATAGTTGTAACTATGCTTTGAAGCTATATAGTGTTTGTTTACATTTAATTTGTTTACAACATTGGAGTAAAACAAGCTTATATTTTGGCTTCTGATGGGGTACAACAGGTCATGTGGCATTTATAACTTATATTCTTCAAGAATCAGTGGGTGCATATGAAGTCCCAAAATGGATGTATTAACTGCAGATTACCCCTTTATAGGTGCAGGGCCTTTTCCAGTGTTCTCAGATCCATTGGTCATTTAAATGGACAGTATCACTCCTCTTTAATCCTGTTGCTGTATTGTCACTTTCATCTTGTCTCTCCGTATCTCTCCTTTTTCTGTATTTTCTTATCTTTCTGTCAGTTTTTTTTTCCCTTCACAAGTAGGACACTGAAATGAAATTGAGGTTACTCAAGATGTTGGAGAGGCAGGTTTGTAGGCCAGGACAGAGGGAGGGGGAGGTGACGAATGACACACTGATAAAAAGTGAACCAGTAGGATACTGTATACAGAGATGAAAGACTCAAAATCCTCCCCCTGAGACTCTCTCTGTCTCTCTTTCTCTCTTTCTTCTGAAAGAGCTCTGACCAGCAACAAGGGAGATATTTAAAGAAACCAGTCATCCACAAACCCCTCTGAGATTTTGGTAAAGGATATCTCTGTATCTATATATGTATAAGTCAGTATCTCTGCTATGATCCTATGTCATTGAGAGATAAATAATTAGCTAGTGCTATAAACAACACTGATAGAACAAGAACACATTGATAGAACACATTGCAACACATGTAACTACTTCTTGACAATTAACCGTTACCTAGCAACTGGCTTTTTTTTCAAGAGATGGGGAGAGTGCAAGATTTGTACTGTATACTCTCACTGTCTTAGTGGATTGGATGGGAAAATGAATCAACATACAATACCAAAATGGAAAGTACAGCCTGAGCCGAACATCTACTGGTGGAGAGAGAGACAGAGAGAGAGAGAGATGGGGGGATGGAATGCAGATGAAGAAGTAGAGATGAAAGACTGAAGCCCCGTTTATACCTGGTGCTAACATGGGTCCTGTGTCCTAATCTTGTCCACATTCTGATTGTGCCCACATGTTTGTGTCTACACCGTCTCGTCTCTGCATTGTGATCAAATGTCCTGGTCCATCCCTGTATGCAAATTATTTCACAGCTATTCTTTCCAAATAATATTTATTTATTTATTTTAAGACACATGTTGGAGGCATAAGTCACTGGTGCAGCCTGTCAATGATGTTAGAGGCCGGTATAATTATGATTTAAATGGTTTCACTGCCCAGATCGGTCTACACGGATGCGTGCCTGACTACCTCCGGAGGTGGTCAGGAAGATCTGATCAAAATCAGATCACAATGCCTTTTTTAATTGTGTAAACCTGTCTAAAAATGCGGGCTCAATCAGAATGTGGACAAGATCAGGAAAAAGGACGCATGTTAGAACCAGGTATAAACAGGGCTAGAGAGAGACAATGGAGGATGACAAGCAGAGATGGGAGAGTAGAGGCAGGTGGGAAAAGATGGAACGAGAAAGAGAGGGAACATTTTATACTGCGGATGACAAGCAAGAGTCGGGGAAGAGGAGAGGAGAGGAGAGAAAGGAGGGAAGGAACGGTTGCTGTAGGAACGCTTGCCAAAGTTTTAATGAGGGCACAAAGTTTGATCCTTATGCCCACAACATATACAGACACACATGCACACACTCACACACACACAGTATATATACCAGCTGGGTTTAGTATTACCCTTTGTGACTACAGCTAACGGTAAACAAAGATCTACAAATCTTCCCAGATCCCTCTAACACCAAAGTCCCAAACAAATAACAGAATAGGAAGCCACTCTGTGTGGATGAAATACAACAGTCACCCTTCAAAGTCAGATAGCCAAACATAACAATGTGGCATACAACATCCTCTCCAACATTAGCATTTTGTTCTATTGTGTATTGATAATGTGGTACTCTATAATCAATTGTGTGGCGATTGAGTTTTGAATCTGATGATGATCACGCTTCCATGCACATGAGTGAATACTTTTCATGGCCATGCAGCCACAGTTGGCTAGTTCTGAATGAGATGATCAGACAGTTATGAGACTTGATGAGTTTGTTTAATGAATATATCATTGCTCTCTCATGGGTTGATACACATAACAGCCACAGATTAACATCTTTGATTATAATGAAGCAGAGACTCAGGATAGAGAATACATACATTTTACATAAACTTTCTACAATAGATATCAGATTTTGATACGTTATAATATTTGCAGACTATTTCGTTAATTTCTTGCTCTTTCACCTTTGACGTTTGACCTCTCACCTCACACTGAACTTAGAACCCTAACACCAACTTTCATACTATCACACTCCCCCGTAGTCCACAATCACTCCCGCTATCTCTCACTTGCACTCTCCAGCATCCGAACTTGTCCGTTGTTGTACACTCTCACCCTCTTCCTCCTCACCACCCTAGTCCCCCTCACAGGGACCGCCTTCTTCAAGGTGTATCTAGGGGGATACCTCGCCAGCCTTGCTGCGCCACCTCTCATGCTCTGAGGTGCCAGAGCTCTGCTACCGCCACCCCCTCCCTCCTCCCCCTCGTCCCTGTAGCCATGGCGACGGAGGAACGGTTCCAGGGTTGCTAGGCGATGGGTGAGTTCCGTGATACGCCTGTGCAGCAGAGTGACTTCCCTGAAGAGATCGTTGAGCGACTCAGACAGAGGGCGCACCCTGCAGGACACAAAGAGTAACTTAGCAACAGGCTCTTCAAACGAGCAATCAGTCACACTTTAAGAACCTGGATAGTAACTTTAAATTATTAATCTGCACTGGTCAATATTTTGTAGAGTCAAAGCAGGAATTTAGCAACATCAATCTACAATGTCATTCACACATTCTTGGACAGAAGAAATAACTTTATAGGCCTACAACTTCATCATAGAGACATACAGTGCCTTCAGAAAGTATTCACACCCCTTGACTTTTTCCACATTTTGTTGTGTTACAGCCAGAATTTAAAATTGATTACATTTAGTTTTTTTCGGTCACAGGCCTACACATACCTCATAATGTCAAAGTAGAATAATGTTTTTAGACATTTTTACAAATTAATAAAAAATGAAAAGCTGAAATGTCTTGAGTCAATAAGTATTCAACACCTTTGTTATGGCAAGCCTAAATAAGTTCAGGAGTAAACATTTTCTGAACAAGTCACATAATAAGTTGCATGGACTCACTCTGTGTGCAATAATAGTGTTTAACATGATTTTTTTAATGACTACCTCATCTCTGTACCCCAGACATACAATTATCGGTAAGGTCCCTCAGTTGAGAAGTGAATTTCAAACACAGATTCAACCCCAAAGACCAAGGAGGTTTTCCAATGCCTCACAAAGAAGGGCACCTATTGGGAGATGGGTAAAAATAAAAAAGCAGACATTGAATATCTTTGAGCATGGTGAAGTTATTTAATTACACTTTGGAGTGTGTATCAATATACCTAGTCACTACGAAGATAATACTGCAAAAAATGTGGCAAAGCAATTCACTTTTTGTCCTGAATACAAAGTGTTGTATTGGATTTGCCCCAAACATAACACATTACTGAGTATCACTCTCCATATTTTGAAGCATAGTGGTGGCTGTACCATGTTATGGGTATGCTTGTAATCGTTAAGGAGTTTTTCAGGATGAAAAAGAAACGTAATGGAGCTAAGCACAGGAAAAATCCTAGAGGAAAACCTGGTTCAGTCAGCTTTCCAACAGACACTGGGAGACAGTCACCTTTCAGCAGGACAATAACCTACAACAAGTCAAATATACACTGGAGTTGCTTACTAAGAAGACAGTGAATGTTCCTGAGTGGCTTAGTTACAGTTTTGACTTTCCAGGTGACTACCTCATGAAGCTGGTTGAGAGAATGCCAAGAGTGTGCAAAGCTGTCATCAAGGCAAAGGGTGGCTACTTTGAAGAATCTCAAATTGATTTGTTTAACACTTTTTTTTGGTTGCTACATGATTCCATGTGTGTTATATCATAGTTTTGATGACTTCACTATTATTCTACAATGTAGAAAATAGTAAAAATAAAGAAAACTCCTGGAATCAGTAGGTGTGTCCAAACTTTTGAATGATACTGTAAATCAGCTTGAAAATCTATAGCAGGACTTGAAAATGGTTGTCTAGCAATGATCAACAACCAATTTGACAAAGCTTGAAGAATTTTAAAAAGAATAAATGGGCAAATATTGTACAATCCAGGTGTGCAAAGCTCTTAGAGACTTACCCAGAAAACTCACAGCTGTAATCGCTGCCAAAGGTGATCCTCTGTAGCTCAGCTGGTAGAGCACGGCGCTTGTAACGCCAAGGTAGTGGGTTCGATCCCCGGGACCACCCATACACAAAAAAAATGTATGCACGCATGACTGTAAGTCGCTTTGGATAAAAGCGTCTGCTAAATGGCATATTAATTAATTAATTAAATTCTAACATGTATTGACTCAGGGGTGTGAATAATTATGCAAATAAGATATTTCTGTATTTCATTTTCAATACATTTGAAAAAATATCTAAAAACATGTGTACACTTTGTCATTATGGAGTAATGTGTGTAGATGGTTGAGAAAAAATATATACTTAATACATGTTTTGAATTCAGGCTGTAACACAACACAATTTGGAATAAGTCAAGGGAATACTTTCTGAAAGTACTGTAAAAGGGATGTGTACACTCTCTGTTGACCTATACCACAGTGAAGAAGTCCCTCTGGTACTCCTACCTGGAGTAGTCAGGGAGCAGGGTGCTGGGCTGAGAGTGGAGTAGGGTTTTGATCTCGTTGAAGATGCGTTTTCCCCAGACGTCCAGAACTCTGGTCACACTGCGGACAGTGGCCACGTTCACACTCTCAGCTGCAACCAAAACCCCAGCAAGGACAACCCCAGAGAAAATGAAGAAAATACATTGTTATGAAATGCATGTTTTTTTTCACTTCTGCTTTGTCTTTCATTTTTACATTTTTAGTCATTTAGCAGACGTTCTTATCCAGAGCGACTTACAGGAGCAATTAGGGTTAAGTGCCTTACTCAAGGGCACATCGACAGATTTTTCACCTAGTCTGCTCGGGGATTAGAACCAGCGACCACTAAGCTACCTGCCGCCCCGAAGTCTTTCCTTGACTTCAACTGAGTAGGCTGGATGGATGTTCTTATTTATTATCTTACCTCCCTCCCTGTAGTTCCAGTACCCATAATCCAGTTTGTTCTCCTCGCCAACAGACTGGGCCATGGTCGCCATGGCAGCCAGAAGAAGCAGCAGCATCACTGTGGGAGGGGCCATGATGAGAAGACACAGCCCTTTATGAAATAGAAGAAAAAAAACACAACAAGATTGTTTGAAAAAATCTCCCAATTAGCCGAAATCAGTTCAATGTGACATTACAACAATTTGATTATGTTCAGAAGAAAGAGGGAAAGTCAGAGAAAGAGAGAAGAACCAGAAAGAGAGAGAGAGAGAGAGAGAGAGAGAGAGAGAGAGAGAGAGAGAGAGAGAGAGAGAGAGAGAGAGGAGAGAGAGAGAGAGAGAGAGAGAGAGAGAGAGAGAGAGAGAGAAGAGTGAAGAAATAGTTGGTTTTTCCACACAAGGCTGCCAACAGTCTCTCAGTGGCCCAGTTAAGAGTTGAAAACAGATCCGCGTGCATGTTCACATGTTGGTTTGGTATAGGTCATCTTAGAAACCCTCTATATTCCCTATCGCTCCTTGAAAGTCTCTCAAAGTATGTACAAGTATGATTTCAATACTATGATTGAAAACAGGTCACGGAGCCATTCATTTGTGGTAAGGACATGAGTCAGACAGTCTTATGACCTGTTTGACTGAGCAAACTCAATTAGTTTATTTCAAAGCCTGAAGAAAATCTATTTTGTGTGAGGGACAGTGGGGCCTGTGTCTTCAGGACAGTGGTGTGATAGAAGGAGAATGTGTCCAACCAACCAGCAAACAGTTTGAAGACCTTGATTGTATCGTATTGGTTCCAGCAACATGTCACTATAAAGAGCAGGAAGGGGATATAGCCAGAAGAGAGACAATGAGAAGGATTGGTAATCACTTGGACTGTTATGGATATCTTAGATGATGACTCATGAAAGAAGCCTTGTAAATGCTTTCATAAGAGGGTCTCATGTTGCAGTTGGAATCAGATCAGAGGGAGAGTGGAAGAGGCAAATGAACACCTATCCTCACAAGAAACAAGCTTTAGAAGCTATATAAGGACCGAAGAATTGGCAAAGACTCCAGCCACCCGAGATATGGACTGTTCTCCATGCTCCCGTCCGGCAGGCAGTACCAGTCCATAAAGGCTCAGACAGACTCTTAAACAGCTTCTATCCCCTGGCCAGAAGACTGTTAAATGACTAACAACTACTGCTCTCCCTCTCCCCACAGACTATCCACACTGGCTATATGCCCATCCACAGGTCTCTACCCACTCAGACACAACCTAAACTGATGCTAAAATGATTATTGTTTAGATGTATTATTTCATTACGCTGCTGTCCATTGATTATTGATTGCCATCACCATAAGTATTGATATATTCCTGCTACCAGTCACTTTTCAGCCCTGTTTACATGTATATCCTACTACCAGTCACTTTTTATGTATAAACCCACCTCAACCAGTCCAGTACCCCTACACATTGAATAAGGTACTGGCACTGACCTGTATATACTTGCATTCTCGTTTCTTTAACTCTCATTGTAGTTACTGTGTGGTTTTTATTCTTAATTTTATTTTGTATTCTATTTTCTATTATTATCTACAGTATATTATAATTATAACTGCATTGTTGGGAAAGAGCTCTCAAGGTAAGAATTTCACCGTAATGTTTTACACCTGTTGTGTCCTGTGCAGGTGGCGAATAAACTTTGAAATGTGAAACTTGAATATGGTCGAGCTGTTTCAATAAACATATCAAGAACCAGACAGACTTATTAGACACATGCAGGAAGATAAGGTTCTGTATGTATGCCAGTTAAATAGTAAATGGTAAAACAACAGTGCCACAAACAACTGAAACAAGGCCAATAAACCAATGCATTTGCTGTATGAAAAGTACATTGCATGTTTTAAATGAGTGAATTAAACAATACTTACACCTTCAGGGAATTAAGTTTAATTTAGCAGGTCCAAGTTGTCACTCAATAGAACTTGGTGCCTTCTCTTCCAATGCCCTGGTCTCCTCTTCTTCTTACTTCTTCCCTCTCTCCTCCTCTCTCCTCCCAGTCCCTGTCCCTGTCCCTGCAGTAGTAATGTGATTAGCAGGAGAATGTGGCTGGGCAGTGCGGACCCACTTAAGAACTATTTATTTGTGAACTGTGAGAGAATTGAGGAGCACACACATCTCGCTCTCTCTTCGTTTTCTCTCTCTCTCCCTCTCCTCTCTTTCTGGGTTCCAGCTGTTTCCAGACGTAAGTGTTCTCTTCATATTCACTTTTCTTTTTAGTCTTCCTGTCATTTCTCTCCCACCCACTCCGCCCCTGTTTCCCCTTCTTTTTGCTGCAGATGGAGGTAAAGAATGATTGTTATCCAATGGGCTTTAACATTATTTCAAGAACCCAAAAGTATAACTGTGAATTCTCCAAATTGCTTAAATGATGACGCATTTCATAAAGCTCTGGTTATCGTCCAAGTTCAGTCCAATACATCAACTGACCAAATCCAGGTCAATACATTCCATACTGTGGACAGTGGATTTGCCCTGCCAGGTAAAATAATGTGAGAAAGTGATTTAAGGTCAGAGGGGAGGGACAGAGGGAGTTAGAGATCGATAAGGAGAGGGGGAATGGTATGAAACAGAGGGAATATCATTTTTATTCACTGGTATCCAGATGTTATTTCTGTTCTCTCTCTCTGGGTCTGTTTTTGTGCAGTGGCTGCTGTGAGGTCAGAGTTGGCTTCTAGCTCTGCCAATGAAAGGGGGATAACAGGAGAAAGAGTTAGTAAAAGAAGGGAATAGAGAGAGAGGGAAGAAGAGAAGAGGTATAGGCATGTGCAGAGGTGTTGTAATGCTTTGCAGTTCTTCCTTCCACACTGACTCAGAGTATTAGTGGTGGAGAAGTCACATGGATTCACATTCACCTGGTTTGCATTAACACATAGACAATTTGTCATCTCCACAGAATTCCATTCTCTCGCTCATTCTCTCTTTCTCTGAAATTCTCTCTCTCTCTCTCTACCATCTGAAGGGCCAGACTCTCATTTAGTGCTCACGTGTGGTTTGAACTTTAACTCTGGGTCTCTCCAACACTGTCTCACAGTGGAGGAAACTCAACACTGCATCTGGGATGGATCTGGTGAGTGACGTAATAAACACAATAATAACACAGCCTGTAGGATCACAACAGAACATACACCAGAGTACATACTGTAATAACTTTACTTCATTCTTTAATTCATAATCTGTTTATAGCCTATACCTCCCAGTTCAGTACAGTATCTTGGTCATTCTATGTCTGGTGGTTGGGGATTTCACAAGGCTCACGTTTCAACACTTTGAGGAAGTGGCCAGGGCAAAACAGGAACCCCAGTATTGTGATCTCTCTGAGGCCAAGACTAACAGATACAGACATAGACATTCTAGGCAATCTGAACAGGGGAAAGGCTTGGAGCAACACCCACACACTGTTTGGGAAATTGGACGAAATCCTTCCAATACTGATACAGGTCTTCCTATCTCAAGTGACCGCAGAGAACTAGAAACAGAGGGGAAAAACTAAACTTTTGGCGTCTCTTCAAAATGTGCATCTGGATGGTTGGAGTTCTGTATGTCCTGATGTGTTTGGGAAATCATCAGGCTCAAGGTAAGGGTATTTAATTAACAAAACATTTAAATACCAATACCACGATACTGTTGAAAGTACATTTTTCATGTTAGAAGTTAGAAATGTCATGATAGAAATTCCTGTTGTCATTCACGTCTTTTCTCATCAACATTGTATATCAATGTATTTTAAGCAGGCTATATCAAGGTATTGCAAATCAATACATAAGTCAGTTGCCTATTTTCTTCTTTGATGTCAGATTGAGCCTTACTCTACATTCCCCTATGTAATTTAGCAGCCAACACAGCCATCTCCATGCCGGACAGAGTCAGGGTGACTCTGGCAGGAGAAACGCTCCATTTCATACTCAAAGTGACCATCCCAATGAATCAGAACTCAAGTGACTTAGTCTGCTCTGGGCCTCCAGACCAAAAGGAGATACAAAGATGGCCACTCCCCTTTTCTCAAACAACTAAAGACCCATTGACTTTGACAATAACAGCACGTAACAGTTCATACTCAGGAGAGTATAACTGCAAGTATAAAAATGCAGAGATCTTCTGGACTCTTCTGGTGAAAGGTGAGTGTGTGATGGGAAACAGAACATGAAGGGATGATAGATAAATAACAGTTAGTGAAACTTCTGTTATCCTGTTGAGTAACAGGAACTGTTGACATGATAGTGGGACTTTTTTCGGTACAAATACTTTAGATGTCGGATGTATGTCGGATGTATGCCACCATCAACAACAAGCATGATTGTCATCATGAAAATAAAAAGTCCTCTAACTCTTTTTTTTTCACTTGACAATAATCTACTTCCTACCAAATGTTTTCAGCCATTGATTGACACTGGACAACCTCTAATGGTATTATGTTTATTTTCTCTGTTTCTGTATCTCTGTGTCGCTGTGTCTCTGTGTCTCTGTGTCTCTGTCTTTGTCTGTCTTTCAGACGAGGGGTACCGACAGCCTTACTCAGATTTCATCGTGTTGGGGGCTCTTACCACAGGCCTCCTCATCTTCAGTGTGATCGGGTCCATATATGTGTTTAAAAGCCAATGGGTAAGAGATTTGAGAAAGGTTTGGTGGAGGTTTTGAAACACTGTATATTTTTGTACCCTTCTTTTGTGGTTGGTTTGTTGTCATTGTATCAGTCTGTGTGTTTGTTAACTTGTGATTTCCAGGGTCAATTTACATTGAAGAATGGAAGTACCGGTAGTGGAGTAAGCAGAAGGAATAGAGGAGAGAATGAAGAGGAGGAGGACAGTAAAATTAATGCAGCTGCCTCTGCTTCAGTTTACGCTGTAAGCATGTCTCTCTATCTCCATTGACTTGCTGAAACTATACCACATTGATTTTTATGACTTGAACTCAAAGATCCACCTTGACACATGGGGGTACTGTGTGGGGGTAATCAAAGAAATATCATCAACAAAGATTCACTGTTTTGATTAACTTTCACATCCACTGTAGGCCACTATGTCAACTAAAATAATGAATGTGTCTCACCTGGAACTGCCTCCTCTCTCAGAGTCTAGAGTCTCGGCCAGCATCTGTCTATGAGGTCTTGGCCCCAGGAGCAGCAGCAGCAGTAAACCGTGAATCTGTCCAGAGGAAAGAAAAAGTGAAGAGAAAGAAGTCAAAGGAATCGGTCAGTGTGAACATACACTAACCAGGACTACAGGGAAATATAAATGACTAAAGCCTTGGTTTTGTCATTCCAGATATATTCTATTTTATTCTATTCTATTTTCTCCAAAATAGATATGAATAGACCTATAGCTACCAATAATGTTGATAAAGAGCTGTTCGAGTTCATGCGGATGCTACTGTCCTGACCTCTCTCCCACTCTCCTCCTACAGATGGAGGACGCAACGCCACAAGGAGATGTAATATTTGAATGCGTCTATGAGAATTTCTGACCTACTGACATCTGTACTGTGTTTGGGCATCTATATGCCTCTATTTTCCTGCCTTTGCAATCTCTCTTGTTCTTTTATACAACCCTAAAATCATGCATGTATCTTACCCTGCAGCTTCATGACTTCTGTTGAAAATAAACTGCTGTGTCTCTGGTTGTTATCATCACGGAATGTCTCTAGTTATTTTGTCTAATTGACTAAGTTTGAATGAACGGATATCTAACCACAAGTGAGTCCACCTGCAATATGTCAGATTTATTTTAGCTGGAAATGTTGCAAACTGATCCCCTCTACTCCCAAGTCCCACCCTAATACGATTGTATCCAATGAGACTATTAGGCTATTTTGAGTAAGAACCAATCGAAACACGTCTCCCATTTCTACTTCCTGGTTTGGTTTATTTACTTTTTGTTGAACATGGCAGCGGAGGGTGACTTTCTGATGAGATATCGTGCTGTATCAAATAAATTGAAAAAGTACGATTTTTTTTTTACGTTCTTGACTTTGTTCTAGGTATCCATTCGACTGAATGTGTAATGCATGATAGTCTAATCATTAGAATTGCGAGCCAGGTTGCCTGGATTTCACAGCTAGCTAGCTAACTGTAGTCAGTGTCATGTGTCCAAAGAAAAGCCCATAAGCTTTTGATTTTTACCATGTTTTGGCTAAACTCATTAACTAGCTGGCACTAGATAGATAATTAGTTAGCTGTTTCAAATGAATCCTCATTCCTGAATGACCTAATGATTATGTTTAGCTAACGTTAGTTATCTAGCGTTATAGCTAATCAGGTAGAATAGCAGTGGCTACTAGGCTAACGGTAACTAGCTAACTAAACATGTCTGACATTCTGTGTTGTCCATACTGGTTTATAACTAACTGTAATTTCACCTTGCCCACCATAGACGTTTTCTTCGGAAACCCAATGTAGCAGAAGCAAGTGAGCAGTTTGGTGAGTAGTTAATGTTTCCAGGAAAAAATTATGATGACTAATAACCATGTTGCCAACATATCAACAATTTATTAATATGTTCATGTTTTCAGATGATGATCCCTACTATTAAGTACACCATTTGCACATTTCTGTTGATTCTGTGGCTTGCATCTCACCCAGTATTTCTTCTTGGCTGCAGGTCAGTTGGCTAAAGAGCTGAAGCAGCAAGACTGCCTTCAGTATGCAGCCTTCTGTGACCTTGCAATGGCAAGGTAAGTCTTCATCTCTAAATATTGCCCCCTATTTAGACCATATTGTTTGCCCTTATTAATATCATACAGACATGGGTAGCATAGAATGACTGATCAATATTGCCCTTTCTCCTCCGTTGTCTGTAAATATCCTACAACCAACATTATATCCTACTACCTATTATATTCTAAATTAGATATCTCACATTACAATATATAATCTATACCTATTATATCCTACCTGAACCCACAGGTGTGAGCAGACTCTGTTCAATGCTCCTGGGGAGGCCCTGGCCCTGACTGACGCTGCCCGGCTCTTCCTGCTCTCTGAGAAGGAGAACAGAGCACTACAAGCCCCAGGCTTCGACGAGCACCTGCAGGCCGCACTCAACTGCTACAGCTTCGCCATTAAGGTAACTCTTCGATCCTTTCTTTAGCAAATCAATCAATATCTATTTTTCATGGTCTAAAAAGACTACAAATGTTTGACATAATAGAACAGTGATGCACAAACAAGTCATAAATTAAAGGTCACGAACAGTCAGAATCATGTTTTTCACAAAATGTGATGATATTTGGATAAAACCAGATCAAAGTATGATGACCAAAGTATGAAACATGACTGTTGCTTCTACATTGATAAAGTTTGATCATAAAGTTACTGGTCTCCTCCCCCATGTCAAACACTTGGATTCAGGTGGCGGGATTATTAAGGGGATAGGGGGACATGACGTGTGTGACATCACATGTTTGCAGAGGGGCGTGGTTTATATACAGTAGCTAGATAGCTACTCTACTGGTGCAAAATTTGACTGTAGGGTGTCAGCAAATGCAATTAAAAGTTTACACTATTCATCTATGGCAAAGATACTTCCATCTGTGTCTGGTGTTAGCTAGTTACTGGCTAGCTAGGTCTACAGCCAGCATGGAACAAAAGGGGAGGAAGGGCATTCAAAACTCTGACGCAGTTGTCATGTCAACACACCCATCAGTGCTGCTGTGAACTGCATCACGAGACATGGGAGATGTCTTTTTTTTTTATCACATCATTGATGTCATTTCAATGTTGTATTGAGTTGCTTTGTGTATCACAAATTTTGCTTGAGATGATTTTACTGCAACACTGCTCACTGCATCCACGTTTCTTGCAATAGGTGTTTCAAAGAGCTGTCAGTCAAAGCGAGCTCATGAAGATAAGCTTCCCGGCCACTCAGCCTGTCTTTTCAGACTTCCTGGTACTTAGCCATGAGAGAAAGTAATTTTCCTCAAATGTTTAGCATTTCTACCCCCAAAAAATAGTATGGGTGATAGTTTAGTCAGTCATGAGGCTATTTTACATGGGAATCAGAATGACTGTTTGGGACCTTTAAGAGTTGCTGCTGATAATGATCCTGCCATTCCAGGAGAACACTAGCCTGGTTAGACCAGATGGAACTGACTGACGTGAAGTGAGACAAAAGTGAGCGCAGCATTCAGTCTGGTTTAAACAGGCTTGGTGAACAACAGCTGTGAAAGGTAAAATGATCAATCAGAATATCTTTATTGGTTTTGCTAAGGGATTTAAATGATAATCTAATCCATTTTGGATTATTGTTGAATCCATCTGAAATAACAGCTATAAAGAGATGGACCAAGCATCTGGAGAATTTACCGTACATAATAACAACCCATTTTCCCTGGCCTTTCCACTAGATTCCACTGGAGACAGTAGTATAATGCTGTGTTTTACAAATGTGTTTCAGGTGTACATTGAGATGAACCAGCCTGTCATGGCCGCCAGTCTATCTCTGGAACTTGGCAATGCCCTCAAGGTAATGGACCAAACTGATCACAAAAGATAGATTGGCAACGATTCATCTTCTATGTCAGTCTGTGTAGTGAATTAAGTTCATATGAACAGCCCTCTCTCGGTCTCTTTCTCTCTTTCGGTCTCTCTTTTTTATTTATCTTTCTGCTGTTCTCTCTCCCTCCCTCTCTCTTCCTCTCTCTTGTCATCTTCTTCTATAGGAGATGAACAGACCAGGTGAGGCTATAGTTCACTACCAGAGAGCAGCAGAACTACAGACACAGCAGCCCATTGAGTCTCTGCTGTCTATGGGAGAGATGGCCACCTGCAAAATACTCACCCGTGAGTACAGTGGCGGGATGGGTGGGGGTTGATGGGTCTGGACCATAGGTGAAGATTTGTGTTATTCTTTGTTTTCAACTCAGTATTGAACTCCGAGCCAGGAAACTGGGTTATGGTATGGGGATTACCTGCATGTGGTCCAGATGTCAGTTGAAGTGTGGTTGTGTGCGTATACATGTGTTGGGGTCTAGAGTATACCAGTAAGTTGCTTTGGAAATTGAATTTCTCCAGAGGAGTGCAATGCAATTTCAGAATTTACTGGAATTGATATGGAACTGACCCAAACTCTGGTGTGTGTGTTTGTAACCCTAACAACAACAGCATGATACTGTAATAGGCATTGTCTATTCTCTATGTGTAAGGTGACTATGACGGCGCGCTGGCCGTGCTGACAGAGATGCAGCTGATGTGTCAGGAGAGGGGACTGCAGCTGCCCGGCTCCAGCACCCCCGTTGGTGAGGACATAATGGACTGGCCCAACCCTTGTGGCTAACTCATCACTTCCTGTGTTAAAGCAGGAAGTTCAGGAAGTATTCTGTAACTGATGACACATTCTAAAATAAATATGAATTTTTCCTTTCTTATGCTTTTCCTCTGCTCATTGTCTTCTTAGGTGCATTTCTGGACGTTGTGGCCAAGTGTGAGATTTCCAGAGTACTTTTGCTGATGCTGCTTGAGGTAGGCACAGCATAGAGACAATGGTTGTTCCTTCTTATTCCATGACATTTCACTTCACCTGTATTCAATTCCTTCCTACAAACACTTACAGAGGATTCGTCACTGCTAAATTGCGTTTTCTCTTTTAAAGCTGAGAATTAATGTTAATGTCTTAGTTTTGCCAGACGTGACCCTCATTGTTTTAAATGGCTGAATCTTCCACCTGTCTTTTGCAGCCTCCTCCCCAGAAGTTGTTGCCAGAGCATGCCCAGACCCTGGAGAGATATGCCTGGGAGTCTTTTGACCCTCATAGTCAGGGTAACTACACTACAGCCATTATTCTAACCTGACTGACCTGAAACACTCCTACACACAATGCCACAACACTAGCAAAGTTGGGATTGGGAACAAAATTCATAATGAGCTTTAGATTATTTATATATTTTTATATTTTTTAACATATTTACTAAACCTCTCATTGTAGTGACCTTCCTACCTGAGAACGTCTTCCTGCTCCTGCAGTCAGTTGTGGTAAGTGACATATTTCCTCACTAGACTATATCACACAAAATAGCTATGTATTGGCCCTTAATGTCCGGGTGAGAAGATCAAGTGTCTCACATGAGGATTAATAAGAGCATGATTGTATGACTGGGTCAACTTTAAAGCTAGAATCCTTAGTTGCTACATCCATTTTGGGACTTATAAATGAATGATATTGATTCTTGAAGAATATAACTTATAAATGCTTCATGAGCTTAGTTCAACTGTCGTACCCCATCAGAACCCAAAATATAAACTTGTTTTACTCCAATGTTAGTAAACAATGTAAATGTAAACAAAAACTGTACAGCCTAAAGACATGGTTGAAGCTATAATGTTGATATCATGGATGGTCAGTCCTTGCATCCATAGCTCTGTTTATGAATTAGAGTGGTTATGTTTCTCCAGGCCCATCCGTCAGCGTTTTACAAAAACAAAGTCGGGGTGATGCTTTGTTATTGTTTTGATTAAGGATTCTAGCTTTATGGTGATTTATATTAGTGCTTATGCTGGCCTTTCAAAGTCTTAACAGTCTATAACAGTCTGTCACTGTGTTGTGGCAGATGGCCTGCCAGGAAAAAGACACAGAGTCCCTCAAGTCTCTTCAACCTGAACTCTGGTAAGCATAAAAAACAAAACAAAAACTCAGTCATGTGGTAGCTATTTAGCTGCAATTCACATTTAAATTGAGTTTTTTTCCTTATGATTTTCTCATGGATATCTTCTCTCTAAATTATTAAGAACATGCATACGGAAAATGGACAATAAATTATTCTTCATCCCTCAGGCCTCTTCTCTCAGCAGAGCAGAACCACCTCCTTCACCTGGTGGTGCAAGAGCGGATCACCCCCTCTGGACAGGGGATTTAGTACAGTCCAGATCAACTCACTACACCCACTCGGAATGACACATAATGGAACATTCCTGTCTCTGTCTTGGTCTGTTGTAGGGCCTCCTGAATAATGTTTTGGTGGGGTTGCATTCACAACCACAATGTTTTGCATCTTTTTCTTTTTTTTTTTTAATGTGTGAACCGGACCAAGCACGTCATTGTGATCTTACTGTTATGCCTATTAGTGGTCGCTGGATTGCTCGTGGTCAAGTCTTGCACAAAGTAGTTATTTATTGGAAATATGTTGAATAGATGAAATATGAATGGAAAATATGCTTTTTATGTAGCGTTTTTATTTTGTTAATAAATGGTATAGTCTGAACAAACATGGCTTGAATTCCAATGTAATTACAAAAATCCTCTACTGCATTATAATAAATGGTGATATTACATATACCGCAGTGACCTCCGTTCCTGGTTTACCTTTTTCACTTGTACAAATTAAAATGTACTTTGATATAGCAGCCAACCAAAACTCAGAATCACACAGATGATTAAAATGTACTTTGATATAGAAGCCAACCAAAACTCAGAATCACACAGATGATTAAAATGTACTTAGAATGCACGTTATGACAATTCACACAACAAACAGTTACAATCTATTTAGATCATAAAACAATTACAAATGGTTACAAAATACTTCAGTTATAAAAATAAAACAAATGTTTAAAATTCCTTTTAAAACATGTACTGGAAATGAAAGCTTGTTTGCTGATTGTTCAAGTACTGCAACAGGTATGTAGCATACCTTGAAATATACAGTACTATATCTATTACACATTACAAATCTCCCATTTGAACAGGCATGCAGTAGTCTGCATCGAAATTGATTGTGCATACAATTCTTTGGGGTCCACTCTCCCCCCTTCTGTACCACCTTCCTCCTCACAAGAGGGAAATCGGAATACTGGGACTGTTAATAAACTAATTAAGACCCCTCCCTCCATCCATCCCTTTCCAACTCAATGCAAAAACATAATATAAACTCCTTCCTTACAATCCTCCTCTCCTCCCCTTCATCCCTTGTTCCTCTACTCGCTCTTCTTGCGCAGGACCACGTAGATGACGCCCAGTATGAAGGTGAGAACGAAGGAGATCCAGGCCAGGATGAAAGAGTGGCCGAACCAGCCCTGGTCCTGCTTGTGGAAAATGTCTGTGTAGATGGACGCAGCGATCATTACACACAGACCTACAGGGAGACAAGAGGGGAGATTTAAAAACACCTGTTAGGTTAATAACAGTTATGTGCTGTACTGGAAACATCACCTCAAAGTCACTCATAGGGCTGGAGACACAACTGCTGTTGAGACTATTTCGACCTGAACTTAACAGTGATAGTTATAGCAGTAAATGATAGTTATAGCAGTATTTCCATGCTCATGGGGACCCACCCCCGGGGTGTGCATTCAGACTGGATGAGTAGTTATCAGTTATTAGTTTGTTTGCTAGTACTGGACTACAACAAAACATATACACTGTGTTTATATCGATGTCATTACATAGATCATACAGTATTAAGATGCAGATACAGGGACACAAGCTACTTACAGGAGATGAGCATCAAGACTCCAGAGAAGGTGAACCTCTGGCCCTTGGACAAGGTGAAGAGTTGAGCCACGAACACAAACAGGCCCAGGATGGAGAAGATGCAGGCCAGCACTGCCCCGGCCTGCACTACCTGGAGGTACTCTATAGGGGGAGACAGAGAGAACAGGGCTCTATGAGATCCTGACACCCTAGACTCTTGTCATACAGAACAATAACACTCATTTTTATTAATAATAAATAAATAAAATATATATAATAAAAATGTTTAGTCCATGCCATGTAGAACTAACAGCAGGGGTGGAATTAAAAACCATTATTGGAACTCACCACTGTAAAAGGAACAGGGATTCAGCTTAAAAAACAAGTTTCACTTTGGAAGCTCAGTTCGACCCCTAACTACCGAGCGAGTATAAGCATATGTCCACTCTCTCTTGTTTTGGTAGAAGTTAATACTGTGTAGCCATAACAAGAGGTGAGCCCACAGATGCTGTATCTTAATTTGAGACAGTTTCAAACAGCAGGACAATAATCCTGCAGCAACAGGAAATGTGAATGACATTTTTTTGTAGGGGTTGATACATTTTTCATTGGGCAAATCAAGTCAGAATTTTTTTGTGTGGAAATTACAAACTTTAGAAGCCGTTTAAAACCTTGAATACACTACAAGTTTGCATTTCCTGCGCTGCAGGAAAATTCCTGCAACAACAGGATGATCAAATTAAGATACGGCATCTGTACTGTACCTTCAGCATATTCTCCTTTGAGGTTGGTGTAGTGCCAAGCTGAACCTGCCAGTTCCCACCGGCCCCACACGTCTGTGGCCACTGAGTCTGTGAACCACCAGGCCTGCAGACAACAACACAGGGGAAGAGCAGCAGAGACAATGTAACATGAACTTACTAACAGCTACATCATCTCATAACAGTGTTGTAACTGTGTTTTCAGTGTTGGTTCCTTGGACCCAACAGGGCGTGCACTGCACAGCGGTGCACATTTTAGTTCTAGCCCTGTATTTATTATGGTGTCCATGAAGACGTTCTAAAGTTCATATGGAGCAGGAGAACTGATGGAACAGAAGGGGTCACTGAGGTGACATTGGCCATTGGGAGCATGTAAAGAAAAGGAAAGGGGATATTTATATACTTACATTATCAATGGTTGGCCACCAGGAGCATGATGATGGCGGTTATGTGAAGAACAACGATTCCAGCCAGGACCAACATTGTGACTAACTGAGAAAAGATAAGTGTTGTGGAAAGATATACAGTGAATAGGCTATGCTGCTTATTATAAACTGGGTGGTTCGAGATCTGAATGCTGATTGGCTGATAGCTGTGGTATATTAGCCCATATTTTCATACTCTAATTACGTTGGTAACCAGTTCAGAATAGCAATAAGGCACCTCGGGTGTTTGTGGTGTATTGCCAATATACCCCACCCCCTCGGGCCTTATTGTTTAATTATAAACTGGGTTTTTCGAGATCTGAATGCTGATTGGCTGAAAGCCGTGGTATATTAGCCCGTATACCACGGGTATGACAAAACCTGCTCTAATTACATTGGTAACCAGTTCATAATAGCAATAAGGCCCCTCAGGTGTTTGTGGTATATTGCCAATATACCACGGCTAAGGGTTGTTTCCAGGCACTCTGCGTTGCGTGGTGCATAAGAACAGCCCTTAGCCGTGGTATATTGGCCATATCCCACACCCCCTCATGCCTTATTGCTTAATTATCTTAGTAAATATGAGGCATAACCAGACCTGGGTCAAATACATGTAAAATACTTTCAAATGCTTGTGTTGCACTTGAATTGGTTTGCCTACAATGGGAATAATAGAATAGTCCCAAAAGTGCTAACTCCCAGATAAATCAAGCACATGTTAAAGTATTTGACTTATGTTTTTGATCCAGGTCTGGGATAGAACAGTCAAGGGGTAATTATATTGTTCAGCGTTCACACACAGCTGTCGCGAAAACACGTCGTGGAAGTCTCACTAGCAACAACATTTTTATTTTTATGACTGCATGACCTATCGTTCACACACACACACACTCCCACTCAGCAACGAGGATTCCATCGGATCTCGAGCGCTCTACCTGAATTGTCAATGGGGGTCGTTTCAAATATGACTCGGTTGTGTGCACATCATTGCATTTGATTGCTCATTCACGTTTTTCCTATAAAGGAGCTTATAGATTCGTTTATTTTTTATCAACTACAATTAGACCGCTTAGAGTGTAAAGTAATAATTGTCGTTTCTGTAGGCGTACCATCACAACAACATTGTTTAAAAAGTTACTCAAGTGTATAAATGTATTAGGTCTAAACGTTTAGACTATTCGTTTATCTGCAGACTAATCATTATTAACCTGAATATACGCAGCAAAAAAATTAGACTCAATTGCAAGTTTCAGTAGAGAAAAATAACAGGCTATTCAACGTGGCCATGTATTTTTTTTAACTGGACTACTAGGCTCTACATTACCATTTGTTATTGACGCTATCCCTGTTATATGCAACGGGCCCCATACACAGGCTATGAGAAAAGAGCGCGAGAATACGACGACAGAAGTGAGTCTATGAAACAAATGTATTATACAGAAATGAATACAAAATCTTCATTAAAAGGTTATCTATAATACTATGCATGAAGTAAACCAATGTTGACGGGGGGTTTTTGCCTCTCGCAAAGGTGAAATGCATGTAATCCTTCCAAAGAGTTCTTATCAACTTCCATTATAAAAAGTTGAAATAACTCCCCAAACTATTTTTTTCACCCACAGAGCCTTCAAAAACATTGGTAAAACGGTACAAACCCTCCACCAATCCCATTGCATAGAAATTGTAAACAGCATTAGGTTGATAAACGTTACCTGTGAGGGAGCTTTTACGCACGAGAGTTATTTGGAATTCTGAAAAGCTGTAGACCCACCCAGCGTCGAATTCATAGCCTACACATCACCCCTTTCTCTCTCCAGTCCCTTCCCCCCCTTTCCCCTTTCCCAAACCACACCCATATCCTCAAACTTTTTCTTATCTTTAAAAAGTCAGGGACTTTAAAAGTCGATGACAAATAGGCAACGTTTCCCTCTGTCAAAACACTGCGTGAAGTCGAGTGATCTTCAAAGGGGCTCATTGAATTAATGGAATAACAATTACAGATGTGTCAGAATGTGTGCAGAATAGTCCCAGTTTGCAGTATATTCTTAATTCTAAAAAGAACCAAACAAACAAACATGTTGCGCTCCACTATAGCCCCCTTCCTGCCCTCAAAAGGGAGAGGCTATACCTCTCCCTTTTGCTATGAGCTCCAAACACATGAGCACAGTATTTTACTTCACATTCATATAACTAAACAACAACACTGTCACGATCGTCAGGGAGAGACCAATGCGCAGCGTGATGAACGAACATGTTTACTTTATTTAATTAAAGCAAGAAACAAAACAACAAACGACTCGTAACGTCCTTGGTAACAAATGACCAACACGGAACAAAAACCCACAAACACAAAGTGAAAAACATACAGTTTAAATATGGCTCCCAATCAGAGACAACCAGCCAACAGCTGACACTCGTTGCCTCTGATTGGGAGTCACTCAGGCAAACATAAAAATCAACAAACTAGAACCCCCAACATAGAAATAAACCACATAGAATGAACACACCCTGGCTCAACAAATAGAGTCCCAGAGCCAGGGTGTGACAAACACCCAATTCCCCTCTGTACGCAGTATCGACCCAAAATATGAATCATAGAATAGCCACACCCATTCCCTATCCATGTTTTGGGTAATGACATACTGCACACTTCATTGCATTTTTCCCACCACATGGTTTATGGAAGTCATTTTGTACTTAGGACTACTACTTTTTTTACCATCACTATTTCAAGGTGTTAACAAATGATTTCTACTGTATGTCTCTTTTTCTTCCATGATGAAATCAAATCAGATTTACGTTTTGTCTGAGTTAATTAAGGTGCGCAACATTTGCATAATCCGTTTGGAATTACAGCTGTCAGTTCCAATATACAGAATTGCCTGTAGAGTTTAACATTCTGAGGTCAAATTTACAGTGGTTCCAGTTATCCTAGATGAGTGTTTCCACCTCAAAGCTGTCCTTTTGTGCAGTAGGTAGGCCTACTTTGGACATGTCTTGGGGAGGTAAATGGTTGTATTGATTGTGTCAATCCCAGAGTCAAACACAGAGAGAAGTTCAGACGAACCAAGATCCGCAGAAAGGGACAGGTTCATGAAGTCCATTGTGAGGAGACAAGATGCTGTCTGGTATTCGTGTTGGAGTTAGTGTCCAACTCAAGTAACCAACCCAACCGTTTCCACACAATTGAAAGTAAATTACGCTATCACTGATAGCTGTTTGCGGTGTCATGCCTTTAAGGAAAACTGTTGCCAGTTCCCTGTGGACTGGAGAAGATTTGTGATTTATCCAGCACATAAAATGTAATGCCAACATACAGTTTAGGTTTAATGTCCCGAGTCAGTTACTTTACTGATGTGCTGTCTGTCATTACTCTGAAAATCTGCTTTGTTGTACTCAAACTGCTATAAGGTTGTTCTTAAGTCAAACAATGTGGTCCTCTGTAGCTCTCAGTGGGTGGCCCTTACCATGGTGATGTCCAACAGAAATATCAGCCTGACCATGACACCTTTTCAAGTAAGTAAATATATAGGCCTATTTAGGCTACAAAATAATACAAGTATTTCCTTATAATCTTACACAAATGATAATGAGCCTGTTCTAATGTAACCTTATGACCTGAATATATTGCCTCAGTTAAACAGCAGATCTACTTACCAGGCCCCAGAAGGGACATCAAAAACATGTTATACAGCAGTGGACCCCACTGTCCATTGTGGGAATGACATCCTGATGATCACATTCCAAAAACAGGACATTCCAAACTTCTTAATTGACAGATGTAAGTAAAGCCAGATATTGTAACACTAGTAGGCCTTGTGGAAGTCATATTGTAGTAGTCCTTGTGGAAGTCATATTGTAGTCGGCCTTGTGGAAGTCATATTGTAACACTAGTAGGCTTTGTGGAAGTCATATTGTAACACTAGTAGGCTTTGTGGAAGTCATATTGTAACACTAGTAGGCTTTGTGGAAGTCATATTGTAACACTAGTAGGCTTTGTGGAAGTCATATTATAGCACTAGTAGGCTTTGTGGAAGTCTAATGTATTTTTTTATCGCATTTTCTCCCCAATTGATGGTTACGATCTTGCTGCAACTCCCCAACAGGCTCGGGAGAGGTGAAGGTCGAGACATGCATCCTCCAAAACATGACCCGCCAAGCCGTGCTGCTTCTTTACACACTGCTCGCTTAACCCGGAAGCCAGCCGAACCCATGTGTCGGAGGAAACACCGTTCAACTGATGACCAAAGTCAGTTTACAGGCGCCCGGCCCGCCACAAGGAGTCGCTAGAGCGCGATGAGCCAAGGAAAGTCCCCCGGCCAAACCCTCCTCTAACCCAGACGGCGCTGGGCCAATTGTGCGCCGCCTTATGGGGCTCCCGGTCACGGCCGGCTGTGACACAGCCTCCCTTCGGGCTGTGGCCTCAAGCTGAAGACCTCGGACAGAGGCGGTCCTGATAGCACACTACAATGGATGCTTTGTTCACCAGGAGGTATTGACACTCTCCACTTCCTGTCCTTTCCCATCTGCCCCTCTCACTTATGAAGACTCTGTGGATTTCTGTTCTTACTGTTTTGGGCTACATGCTGTGTATGTTTGGTCCTGGAATCATTCCTTGACATGTAATGCATCTGAACAATTCTATTGATGGTTACATTGCGAAGGAAGTTGAATAATGACTGTTTGCATTGCAGCTTTCTAGAATGAGTTGGCCACATTTCTGCTCATAGTAACATCCATTGCTTTTGCAGGGGACAGACTACATTATGCCAGTGTATTGGTATGGATCTCCAGTGAGGGCATTGTGTCCAGTCAGGGTGCCCTCTCCCAAGGCCACATGTCTGGGATCTGAGATGGATCTGATGACCTATGGAGAGGGGACCGTGGACAGACAAAGTCCTGAGTAAGTACTGCCATGGTAAATTAACATGACCATTTTGACTATGGCTGCATCCCGATTCTCCACACACATGCATTGGTGTAAGAAATGGTTTTAAAGCGAGTTTTCACCATTGTTAAATCCATGTCAGGGAGTGTGCATGTGCACGATTTGGGAGAAGGGTGGTCGGAGAATCAGGACTCAGCCTAAACCAGTTGAATAGGAGTCACTGAGCAATGTCTTTGACCTCTGACCTTCTCGCCCCCCTCATTGAATGGTGACTGGCTGCCGTTCCTGTATGCTGCGTCCTGGTGCTGGAACCCAACTGAAGACGCTACTGAGCCTCTGGTGTTTGTAGTTCCCTACACAACCTGTGGGGCTACAGTGAAGGTAAAGCTATGTATGGAACTGTACACAACTGCCATGACATAATACCTGCCATGACATAACAACTGCCATGACATAACAACTGTCATTGATGTATCTCAACCTAATTATAACGGTTTCCTGTACATTTGGATTAGGGGGTAAATGGGTAAACTGTCGGTACCTGCAATTCCAGAGGGGATTTTATTATTTGGTCCGTTTATTTTTAAATGTATACCTTACGTAAGGGTATTCTTTTCTCTCTCCTATAGAATGGCATGTATACTGTACAACCGGTCCAGGGAAAAGGAGATGTCTTTCTCCTGCCCGTTACAAACCCCTTACCCACGACACCCTAAACACCCCAACAACCCCGATTATGACTCTTATGACCCTGGTGCATCTCCAGACTCTATGTATTCTCTGCCTCACCAACCCTAAACCATTTCACACCACCCACCCATTCCCCAGGCCCAGCCTCTCCCACCATCCAACCCCCTCTCCCAGTTGTGCCTGTACTACAACAACACCAGAAGTTACCCGACACCCAAAAACATACCAGGGACAAGGCTGTTACCCCTTCCCCTTCCCCTCCCCCTCCACAGCCGCTCTCTCCCATCAAGTCCCCAGCTAAGCCCCCAACCCCCCCCCGTTCGCTTTCCCTTCATCCACTACAAACCCGAGTTACACATGCTACCCACTCCACCCCCCATCAAGCCTGTTCCTTTTAAGCCAGTTCCTTTCAAGTTCTCCCCTGAGTTTTCCCATACCACCTCGAGCCTGCTGAGACATCACACAGTCAAAGTGTTGAGCTGCACCAAGAGTATGTGCCTGTGGAACAGCAACATGCATTTGTGGCTTTGACATATGATTCTACTGTTTCTGTCACTAATCACCCCAGTTCTCCCCAGCAAGAGAAGCCTAATCAACATGTACACCAACACATCAGACCTGTCACTCAACCACCTGCTATCACTGCCCCTCCTCCTCCCGCTTCTCCTCTTAATCCTCAATATCATCAGTTTAGTCCCTCTATGTATCAACACCCACAGAGGAAGCATATTGCCCCTGTTCCTCCAACAAGCACACCATAGGATCCAGAGGTTCCACAACTCCCCCATATGGAGGCCGTCCAGCACCAAAACCAATGTTGTAAGTATGGCCCTCCAGCCCTCCTACCCCCACAGAATAGGCCTTCTCCTCCCTTTGGACCTCAACACTATCACCCTAGTTCACCCATCCACTATTCATACATGTACCACTACAAACACTCTAAGCCTGGTAGTCCCAGTAAGCCCACCACTGGCTCTCATCCTCCACTCTACCAGCAATACAGTGTCCCTGACCCCAATTTATAGTATTATCAGAAGCCCAAGTATGTAGCACCTCCAGCTCCTTCTAACCTTCCAAACATCCAGCATCACTACCCTCCATATCAATTCCACCAACAACGGCCAAATCCTAGGTTCCATGCCCCAGCTCCACCCCCACCTCGTGAAGAGAACCCTTCTTTCTCTCTGTATGGTTTTCGGCACCCTGAACCTGATGGACCTCCCCCTCCACCCCACATTTCTACATCTCCATACTTACCGTACCCGCGTGCCAAGAGAGAGGCCCACCGGCACCGCAGTCCACTGCTTGGTGAGCAGCATATGTCAGACAGTGTTTCAATCTATTTTGTTCTCTAAACCGTGAGAATAGTGAATGCACTTGTAACAGCTTTGAACTGTTTCTCCTTCTCAGGAAATGCAAGGTGACAAACCAAGACCATGCCTGGGAGGAAGTATGTTGTCACCAGATGTTGAATTTTGGAAATATAATGTCAATAAAGATGAGTTTTTTTTTAATTCCCCTTTGCTCCATTCATGGTCATATTGTAAGTAATAACTCCTTCACAACCTACTATCAATATGAAGCGAATATAATATTGAATAGAGGGTAATAAAACAGATATTTATATCCATTGATCTGAGATCCTGATGATTATACTGTGAAATACACATAATCAAATGAACCCATAGGCCTAGACAAACTTTGAGATGTGCATATAACTTGAGGCCTAGTAAATTACTAATTTGTGTATGAAACTCATAACATGAAGCCCCTGAGGCTTTACTAAGGCTGTGTTTAGACAGGCAGCCCAATTTTGATATTTTTCCAGTAATTGGTCTATTGACCAATCACATCAGATCGTTTCACAACAGCGTTTTTTCAGAGCTGATTTGATTGGTCAAAAATTCGTGGAAAAAAATCTGAATTGGGCTGGTTGTCTAAACGCAGTAGAATGTGTCTAGACTAGACAGTTCATGCAGCTTTGTTATTTTGATCATGGAATTACGAACGCGTCCACATTGTGGCCAGATTTCCTTTTCCCGAGCATTCTGCAAACGGTGCAACAGGCTAAATCTGATAACACAACAACAACTTGATGGCATTAGCCAACTACTGTAGCTAACTGGGCAGTGATAAGTTGCGTCAATTCAAATCTGGTATTGGAACAAAAAGAGGTCAATACACGTCTTCTAAAATAGACTAGTATTTTAATTAATGCAAAACACTTCAATAGTAAATATGATGTTCGTATATACGGGTCCACTGAAATACCACGCAGGGCAGACAGAGAACTGGTCCATTGTTATAAGTTCTTCTTTAAATACTCTGACAGAGATAGTTCCCGCTCCCTGCTGGCCTATCAGAGTAGAGGCTGAGCGTGGTTTAGACTTACTCAGCCTATCGTTGGCGCACAGGCTGGTCCCAGCCCCTTGGCGCTTCACTGTTGCCAGGTGTTTAGTTGTTTTCTCCACAACTTGTCCAGAGAGTCAGCACTTTTGCAGTACACATGTCCTTGAGCGGTCTAACAAAGAGGCAGTGTTTGTGTATGTGAGACACAAGCCTTATCTCCCCCTACTCCCTAACAGTTCCTCACATGAATCACAGCTTGTTATGTTAAACAGTCTATATCAGTACAGCACAAACCTATTATGTTTAATCATTAATGTATTCTTTCTAAGCTAAGCATCACATCTAGTTATAAGAAAATAGATCCCCACAGCAGCTAACCTCTGTAACTAGCCAGCAAAGCTAAACGGATTGCAAACAAGTTAGCATAACTCTATTTTTTTCGAAACAAGCTAACTGGCTAGCATTTATGAAGCCAGCTAACACGTTTCTCACATGCTATGAACTTGGTTGTTTCTCCCAAAACACTTGTGGGCGGAGTATTGCTGACGTTTTCTACTGTATGTGCTTTCGGTAGCCTGATTGCATCAAGACCAATGATGTGTATAAACCCTGGATGACTGAAAGGAGGCGGTGTATTGCAGCCATCGTGGTCCTCCTCAACTGTAAAAAAGATTTAGGAAGCAATAGAAGTGCATTTATTAATGTCTACCTTCGTTTGACGCGTTTATTCTATTACAGACACTTCAATACATACGGTTCAATTATATTTTGTGAGCTAAACATTTAAAATAAAATGATAAAACACAAAAACATTTTCTTAAAGTATTGTTTTTAAAGAGTACTAATGTTACTGTCCCACTAAAACAAAACATACTTAAATAAATGTAATTTTGTCCTTGAAATATTTAATTGAAATACTGTCGAATTCCATTAATTTCTATGGACTGCTCCTACTAGGGAGTGCCATTGCATCCCTGACCCCCTGAACACAATCCGACCACAATGCGACTTTTGTGCGTCTAGACATGTATTTTCAATGCAGTCTTCAATGCGATTCTGATAGCAGAAGTCACATGTAAATTGCGATTCTGATAGCAGAAGTCACATTTAAGTGTCAAGTGTAGACACAACCACAGACTTGCATGTTTTTTCAAAAAGGAACAACAGCTTTTTTGAAATGTTGGGAAACTTGTTGGAATGTGTTGGGAAAATTCCTTATCAAAGTTTTGTTGTAGTAAGGTTAATTGAGATGGAATCAGCCTTCTCATAACTAGCTGCCATCTGATCGGTCCTCACTAATTAGGCCTAATTAATTGCCCTGCAGTTGCTTTTACCTGCGTGTTGGCCTCCGTGCGCAAAAGCATCAACCTGGCAATGTCTTCCGAACAGAAGAGAAACATAATTGTGTTTTTATGTATAATAACTGTAGCATTTTCCAACTTGCTGTTCTGTGGTGCGTTGAGTGTAGAAAAGATTAATGTTCTCAATGGTTTTAATCCGGATCAAGAAAAGGCGTCAAATGCTGACAGAGAGTGGAGGATCAACGAAAAACAAGACGCTAAGCACAAATCTGAGTATCTGGGCGGATGGGTCATTCTTCGTCGCAATCTTCGACCTACTGTTAATAATTCCAGCATCCAAGAACAGAGTGCAGAGTTCACTGACGTTCCTGAGAACCTCATAAATAATTTCAGTCAACCCAACCTTGCGTTAAAGGCAACTGATTTGCGGGCGCCTTTGAATCTGCGTAACGGTTTCAACGTCCAGAAAAGATCTCTGGATTACAATGCTGGATATCAAGCAGGCTTCAAAGGTGAATATCTGTTTCTATTATTAGATTCGACGAGTAATAGTCACATGTGCAAGGTTGCAGGTGTAATTACAGGGTACAGTAAAAATCTTCACTCCGAGCAGGTCAAAGTGAAATAAAAACAAATGTAATAATAAAGAATATAAATAAAATATATACATATTAACACTAACAATGGTAAATGTCCATTGGCAGGGTACATGTCTGTTAAGGAGAGGGATAGGGGGAGCAGGTAACTGACTAGTGGTGGCTATTCAGCAGCCTGATGGTCTGGGGGTAGAAGCTTTTGGCCAGTGTTCCAGTTTTTGCCCGCATCTGAGTGATTGCAGCGGGGAGAACAGGCCGTGGCTGGGCGCCCTGATTTATCTTCTTGGCATTCCTGTGACACCTGGTGTTGTAGGTGTCCTGGAGGGAGACAGCGTGCATCCAATGGTGCATTCGACTGAGTGTAGCACCTTGCTATACCAGGCTGTGATGCTGCCCGACAGTATGGGTTCGTGTAGAACACTGAGGGTCCTCTGGGACAGGCCACATTTCTTCAGCATCCTGAGGTTGAAGAGTCGCTGTTGTGCCTTATTCACCAAGGTGTCCGTGTGGTTTGACCATTTCACCTTCCCAAGGAACTTGATGTTTTTTTTTTTTTACCGTCTCCAAGGCGGCCACGTTGATGAGGATGGGGGCGTGCCCAGCCTGGTTCCTCCCTGTAGTCTGTCTCATTGTTGGTAATCAGGCCTACTATTGTCATGTTGTCTGCAAACTTGATGATGGAGTTGGAACTGTGTGAGGCCACGCAGTCGTGGGTTAATATCACATATTAGGATGATTTATCAGCAGTATATGCATTTTAAATAGGTGTTTGTACATGGATAAAGATCTCATTTTTATCCAATAGGTTTTGAAGGCCATGGTTTTCAAGGGAAGGTCTATGGTCCATCAGCCGACCACAACCCCCACTCCAGTGAATGGCTGTCGATGAGGCCTCTGGTCCAGTGTGATGATAACCTCATGACACTCACTGCATCTGGACGAGGATACACAAATCTACTGGTAGATAGAGGTAAGCGTTAGAGACCCACCCAACATTCCTAAAAGACCATAACCCTCCGTGTGAAAGCATCAGTGACTCGTTACGGGAATATAATTAAATGGGATCATTAGTTTAGTTATGGGGCCAGGGGTGTATTTATTTATTTAGAAGATTCTGTTGCAAAACGTTTTGCAACAGAAACCATTTGCTCTAAACGGAACATTTTGCAATGAAAACTTGAGGTTTTATGGGACAAATGAATGTAGGTCCCCCCCGTTTGGTTCCATTTGTGCTGAATACAACCCAGGAGTTTTTCCTGGCAAGGTCATGTGGTCTGGAAACTCTTGGCCCTTAGGTCTCTTTACCTTGAATGTCCTGGGGCATATTCATTATGGAAACCATTTACTGTTTTAAGAACCAGACGGAAGCAAACAAGAGTTCCTGAATATTGAAAACGCCCCTGTTTATCATTCCAGCGGACGCCTCTCCCATCTCCCTGTTCCAGCTGCCTCCGTCCTGCGGCTACCATGTGAAGACTACCTGGAGAGATATGGTGATGATGGCACCATACGATGGATGCTACATCATGCAGGAGGTAGAATATTTTCCCCAGTTTGCTTAAGGCCCCACACCCTCAGTGTAATCCCCCCCCCCCCCCCCTCCCCCCTTAATCATATCACAATCAACTTTTACCAGCTGACTGTAGACCCAACAATAATACCTTTTTGTATTAAAATATGCAAATGAGGCATTATCATTAAAAATGCACATATTTGCATATCGCGCAAATCAATTTTTTCTGGACACTTGAAGTCAGCCTAAAAATGCACATTCTGTCCAAAGCAGATTTTTCCAAAGGAAAGTGTGTGTGTGTGTGTGTGTGTGTGTGTGTGTGTGTGTGTGTACCCACACACACAGTACCAGTCAAATGTTTGGACACACCTACTCATTCCAGGGTTTTTCTTTATTTTTACTATTTTCTACATAGAATAATATTGAAGACATCAAAAATATGAAATAACACATATGGAATAATGTAGTAACCAAAAAGGTGTTAAACAAATCAAAATATATTTTATATTTGAGATTCTTCAAATAGCCACCCTTTGCCTTGATGACAGCTTTGCACACTCTTGGCATTCTCTCAACCAACTTCATGAGGTAGTCACCTGGAATGCATTTAAATTAACAGGTGTGCCTTCTTAAAAGTTAATTTGGAATTTATTTCCTCAGTGCATTTGAGCCAATCAGTTGTGTTGTGATAAGGTGGAGGTGGGGGGGTATACAGAAGATAGCCCTATTTGGTAAAATACCAAGTCCATATTATGGCAAGAACAGCTCAAATAAGCAAAGAGAAACGACAGTCCATCATTACTTTAAGACATGAAGGTCAGTCAATTTGGAAAATGTTCAAGAACTTTGACTAGGCCATTCCAAAACTGCCTGGAGAAAACCAAACTCTGCATTGATCCAAAACACACAATCAAGTCTACATGAAAATTGCTAAAAAGCAACAAATTGGAAGTTTTGGAATGGCCTAATCAAAGTCCAGACCTAATCCCAATTGAGATGATGTGGCAGGACTTGAAACGAGCAGTTCATGCTTGAAAACCCACACGTCACTGAGTTAAAGCAGTTCTGCATGGAAGAGTGGGTCAAAATTCCTCCACAGCGACGTGAGAGACTGATCAACAACTACAGGAAGCATTTGGTTGGAGTCATTGCTGCTAAAGGTGGCACAACCAGTTATTGAGTGTAAGGGGGCAATTACTTTTTCACACAGGGGAATTGGGTGTTGCATAACTTTTTATGAAATAAATATGTAATTGTTGTGTTATTTGTCCACTTATGTTCCCTTTATCTAATATTAGGTTTTGGTTGAAGATCTGATAACATTCAGTATCACAAATATGCAAAAGTAGAGAAAATTAGAAAGGGGGCAAATACTTTTTCATAGCACTGTATGTATGTATGTACAACAACCAATTCCCTCTGGGAAAATCTGGAGAATATACAGTGCAATTGGAAAGTATTCAGACCACTTGACTTTTTAAACACTTTGTTACGTATAGCCTTATTCTAAAATTGATTAAATAAAAAAATGTCCTCATCAATCTACACACAGTACACCATAATGACAAAGCGAAAACAGGTTTTGAAAGTTTTGCGAATTTATTACAAATAAAAAACAAACACATTATTTACATAAGTATTTAGAACCTTTGCTGTGAGACTCGAAATTGAGCTCAGGGGCGTCCTGCTTCCATTGGTCATCCTTGAGATGTTTCTACAACTTGATTGGAGTCCACCTGTGGCAAATGCAATTGATTGGACGTGATTTGGAAAGGCGCACACACCTGTCCTATATAAAGTCCCACAGTTGACAGTGCATGTCAGAGCAAAAACCAAGCCATGAGGTCAAAGGAATTGTTCGTAGAGCTCAGAGACAGGATTGTGTCGAGGCGCAGATCTGGGGAAGGGTACCCAAACATTTCTGCCGCATTGAAGGTCCCCAAGAATACAGTGGCCTCCACCATTCTTAAATGGAAGAAGTTTGGAACCACCCGGCCAAACTGAGCAATCGGGGGAGAAGGGCCTTGGTCAGGGAGGTGACCAAGAACCTGATGGTCACTCTGAAAGAGCTCTAGAGTTCCTCTGTGGAGATGGGAGAACCTTCCAGAAGGACAACCATCTCTGCAGCACTCCACCAATCAGGCCTTTATGGAAGGGTGGCCAGACGGAAGCCACTCCTCAGTAAAATGCACATGACAGCCCGCTTGGAGTTTGCCAAAAGGCACCTAAAGGATACTCAGACCATGAGAAGCAAGATTATCTGGTCTGATGAAACCAAGATTGAGCTCTTTGGCCTGAATGCCAAGCGTCATGTCTGGAGGAAACCTGGCACCATCCCTACGGTGAAGCATGGTGGTGGCAGCATTATGCTGTGGGGATGTTTTTCAGCATCAGTGATTGGGAGACTAGTCAGGATCGAGGGCTAGATGAACGGAGCAAAGTACAGAGATCCTTGATGAAAACCTGCTCAGGACCTCAGACTGGGGCAAAGGGTCACCTTCCAATAGGACAACTACCCTAAGCACACAGCCAAGACAACGCAGGAGTGGCTTCGGGACAAGTCTCTGAATGTCCTTGAGTGGCCCAACCAGAGCCTGGACTTGAACCTGATCGAACATCTCTGGAGAGACCTGAAAATAGCTGTGCAGCGACACTCCCCATCCAACCTGACAGAGCTTGAGAGGATCTGCAGAGAAGAATGGGAGAAAGTCCCCAAATACAGGTGTGCCAAGGTTGTAGCGTCATACCCAAGAAGACTCGATGCTGTAATCGCTGTCAAAGGTGCTTCAACAAAGTACGGCGCAAAGGGTCTGTATACTTGTGATATTTCAGTTTAGCAAAAATATCTAAAATCCTGTTTTTGCTTTGTCATTATAGGGTGTTGTGTGTAGATTGATGGGGCGTGGGGGGGGGGGGGGGGGGGGGGGGGAACAATTCAATTCATTTTAGAATAAGGCTGTAATGTAACAAAGTGGAAAAAGTCGACAGGTCTGAGTACTTTCCGAATGCACTGTATCTAAGGATAACCACACAATACTTGGTGAATGCAGATGCTTCTGAAGCTGAGAAAAGTGAGTTGGCGTGTGGGGTGGTCTGACTTTCGGGAAATGGCAGTTAGTCAAGTACACTGAAATTAGACTGCCAAATGGCTATTTAGACCCTTTTTTTTTTAGTCTCTTCAAAGTAAGTTACTAAATATAGTCCGGTTTGTAACACCTATGACATTAAATGAAGTGAGATTAGACATTATTGTATGTCCATTTTTAAAGTGGTTAAAATTAATTAAAATGTTGACTGTAGTTTGATAAACTAAAGGAAATATACATTTTCATCAAGTTTACTTTTTGAAAATACTAATATTTATGGACCAAAATGTAACACTGTAGGTAGCTGCAAAAATATCATTTCAGCCTGTGGTGCCTGGCCTTGATGCTCTGTTCTTCTTGGAATCCTTCAGTCAGACTGCCTCCTGTCCATTCACTCTACAATCCACCCTGCTTTTGTACATAGTAGAACATGACATTAATCTCTCTGTGTCTCTCCTCTCTCTTTTTCACTCACTCTCTCCCTGCCCCCATCAGCATGGTAGTTATGTCCTGCCCATGTTGTGGTGGGGCAGCCCTGTGAAGATCACCTGTCCAGTCCCCCATCCTGACCTCCGACCCCACCCTGTCCCCTCAGTACTCTGCTCCTACTTTGGCATGGCCATCCAGATACATGGAGGGGAGGAGGTCATACACACACTACAGGTCATAGGTGAGTTGGCTTGTTCTGCTCATGTTCCAATTTGGATTGTGAGTGAGTCATTCATTCATTCTCTCTCTCTCCCCCCAACAGAGAACGGCAAGTGGGTGCCGTTTGTGTCTGAAGAGTGTGCCTACCAAGTTAACTCACACTCAGAAGACCTCATCTTTTATGTTCCCTTTACAGCATCATGTGTGACCATCGGAGTAAGTTATAGGAAGTTGATACTCAATCATTAAATTCAGTACAACTTTATTAATATCCTCTAACATTGAACTGAGCTTCTTCAGTGATCATAAATCTAAATATATATTTTTTCTACATTTTTCCTCTTCCAGAATGGAGTTCATCGACTGATCCTATTGGACGGCCAGGGCTTCATCCTCTCCTGCCCCTCACACCACCCTCCTCCATTTCCCTTCTTTCCCTCTCCTCCATTTTCTCAACCCTTCTCTCCTGGTGATCTGCAGCACCAGAGACCTGACCCTGTGACCTTTGCTCCCACCGCCAGCCCTCAAGCTCCCCCTACCTCTCCTCCCATCACCCCTTATACCCCACCTCCAGCCCAGGAACAGAGGCCCCAACTTCCTACGTTCCCCCACCACCTCCCTCATGGCATGTATCCCCAGTTCCCTTACCGTGGTGCTGGGTTTCACCCTCACCACCATCCTGGTCACGATCCATACCCTGGCTCCCATCAGCGTCTCCCATGGAGATACCCAGGCCAGCAGCCCTACTTCCCCATGGGGCCTGGGTATCACCCCGACGGCTCTGTAGACCACCCTGATTACCTTGACTCCTTTTACCTCCCCGCTACCCACAATCCTTCTATGCTCGACCATTATAAAATCACACCTGGTGTCCACCGCCCTTCCGTTGTTGTCGATCCTACTCCTCTTATAGCTATCCGACCTCTTCCTCCTCCCTCTTATACCGAACAACCTCCTCGTCCCGCCTCTTATACCGAACAACCTCCTCGCCCCGCCTCTTTTACCGAACAACCTCATCGCCCCGCCTCTTTTACCGAACAACCTCATCGCCCCGCCTCTTTTACCGAACAACCCCCTCGCCCCGCCTCTTTTACCGAACAACCTCCTCGCCCCGCCTCTTTTACCGAACAACCTCCTCGCCCCGCCTCTTATACCGAACAACCTCCTCGTCCCGCCTCTTATACCGAACAACCTCCTCGCCCCGCCTCTTTTACCGAACAACCTCCTCGCCCCGCCTCTTTTACCGAACAACCTCCTCGCCCCGCCTCTTATACCGAACAACCTCCTCGCCCCGCCTCTTATACCGAACAACCTCCTCGCCCCGCCTCTTATACCGAACAACCTCCTCGCCCCGCCTCTTATACCGAACAACCTCCTCGCCCCGCCTCTTATACCGAACAACCCCCTCGCCCCGCCTCTTATACCGAACAACCCCCTCGCCCCGCCTCTTATACCGAACAACCCCCTCGCCCCGCCTCTTATACCGAACAACCCCCTCGCCCCGCCTCTTATACCGAACAACCTCCTCGCCCCGCCTCTTATACCGAACAACCTCCTCCTCTCGATACTGAACCTGTTCTTCCTATATTACCTACTGCCATCGATCTTCGTCCTTACCCCATTGTTGTTTACGGACCTCCTACCCCTTATGGAACCAAACCTTCATCACCTGTTTTCCAACCTCCAAACCCACCTGCAGATCCAAATGACCCATATGGGGTCCACATGACCATCAATCAGGCCCCGGTTACTGAAGATCCCACATCTGCTACTGGGAGCCCCAATCCTGAGCCCTATACCCAACCTCCTAAATGGCCTGTGGGTCCATACTATTACCCCTCATCTGGTCCTCACCATTACCCCTTCAGTCCCATCTACTACCCCCCACCCATCCCAGGGCCTAGCCCAGTCACTGCTAGTCCCTCCCCAGACTCTCCCTCCAGCAAAGCTCCCTCCAGGTCCTCTGGACCCTACAATGCCCATGGTCTACCCACCCCACCACAGCTATTACCCATATCCCGTGCATGTGCCACACCACCCATATTCTCTCTACCTGACACCCCGCCCCCCTCTGGACCCCACTCTGACCACCCCAGCCCTTTACCCAACAGGTACAGCCCTGCCTGGTGCTACTCAACCACCCCAGACCTCACCAACCACTCCCTTACCCTCCTCCAGGACCATATCCAGCACTACTACTCTCACTCCTTGGATGTCCATGAACACCCCTACTCTCCCCCCTCAGCCCTCCCTCCGCTGTCAAGCAGGACAGATGATGGTGTTGCTGCCCTCTGCTCTCCTGGACTCCATCCAGGTCAAAGGTCAGAATGTCCCTCTACTCACCACATGGTCAGTGTTACATTAATGCTCACTGACTTGCATGTGAAACGCATTTCTCTTTTCAGATCAGATTAATGGCTGGGTGTCTATCTCCAGTGCCCCTGCGGCTTGTAGATACATCCTGCAGATGAGTAAGGGTGGTGGAAGTGATCCTCTATTCCCCTCTCCCTGCCTGCCACAGCCAGGCTATGGTGAGTCCCCCAACACTTTAATTCTGGGTCGTATTCATTACTGCACAGAGTAGAAAACGTAGCAAAACGTTTTTGCAACGGAAAATTAGTTCCTTATTGGACAGGTTCAGGTAGTCCCTCCCTGTTTGTCCGTTTTCTTCCATTTGGTGCTTGGTGAATATAACCCTGTTTTCATTTTGAAGTATTTGCTGTGAAAATGGATCTCACAGTTTGCTATTTTGGTGTGGCCCATTGAAGAGGGAGTTGTTGGTTTTGGCTGTTAAAGTACACCCAACATTTCCTCCCTCTTTCTCCATCCAGGCCCTCGACCCACACCACCTCTCCCTCCCCCTGAAGTTTTGGGACACAGTCCTGGGGCAATACAGAACTCTGGAGCTCCATTGCCCGTCAACCGTGACCCCATCACCTCACACCACTACCACCCCACCAACGACCCAGACCAGGCCTCCCACTCCCCCTAAGCCACACGTCTTCTGCTCTGCTCGCCACATGAGCGTGGAGCTGCCCCCAGGTCCCATATCTGGAATCGTTGTCAAGGGTAAGTGTGTGTCTGTTGGGGGGATGGTGAATGTTTCAGGTGCATATGGTTGTCATCATCCCTGCATGAGTTGAATTCTAACATGGTTGAGAGGACCTAAGCTTTTTTTCAGTATGTGGGGGGGAAATGTGTTGGTTTGTGCCATACAATGTTGCACCAGAACTGCAGCTTGGTCTTGAAAATGTAAATAATGGCTTTGTTTGAAAATAAAGGCCCATATTTTGTCTAAATGTCTTAGTAGTTGTGAAATAATGGCTACGTATCATTCTCAGACATCGAAGGGAATGAGAGGAGCCTGAAGGATGCCCCAAAGCATTGTGGGTATGTGGTGAGCAAGGGAAAGGACGGCATGATCACCCTGACCCTCCCCTTCAACTCCTGTCACATGACTGTCCAGGTGTGTGTTTATATGCTGATCTAGGATCAGGTCCTCCCCCGTCCATGTAATCTCATTTTATTATGATTTATAAGGCTAAACTGACTCCTACTCTGAGATGCTTTATGAATATGGGCCCAGGTAATCACCCAAGTCTGAATGCACCAGAACAACCATGACTACAGTAGTATTGTCCGATCTTTGTGCCTAACAGGGTAAAGAGCACCGCATTGATGTGATTTACTCCACGTTGAACGGACAAAAAGGAAAGGCCCAGTTGTCCTGTCCAGTTTCCATACCAGTTTCTAGTCAAGGTAAAACAACAGGTTAACCTCGTTCTGATGAATGCTTTGATGGCCCGAAACGTCAATCTTTTAAAAAATTGCTTAAATAAAATGATTTGTTTTGAATGGGGAGCGAGCGTTGCGCCTTTTCCTGTCCTGTGTTGTCTGAATGGAAATAAGGGAATATGTAGCTTGTTATATCCAGCTCATTCATATTGCTGGTCACTCCTGTCCATTGACATTTCCTGTGTATCCCCTGTAGAGTGTAACCTTCCCAGTGACCAGAGCCTCCCCTGCGGCCCCCGCCCTCAATCCAAGGCAAAGTGCCTCTCTCTGGGCTGCTGCTATAGCACCAAGCCCTCTGCTTGCTACTACCCCATGGATGGTAAGTATAACCCACAATGAATCTCAATTTGTATTTTCTTGATTCTCGTGTCCTCTCCCAACCTTCTCCTCCAATGCAGGAATCAAGAAAATACAATTTAAGATTCACCCCTGCGATGAATCTTAATTGTCTGAGATATCTAGGGTCCCAATATCAGTCAGAACCTTGGGGAACGCCACTCTAGATCATGACCTTTATGTAACCTTTAGCTAACCCAGAGTGTATGCATGTCCTTTCCCAGAATGCACATTGGACCGCCACTTTGTCTTTTCGGTGCCCGCCTCCCTCACGGACCCCCCTCTGTCCCCCGCCTTGCTCGCTGCCGCCGGCAACCCCACCTGCACCCCTCAGAGGGTGACTCCCGACTATGCCCTATTCAAGATCCCACTGGGCGGCTGCGGGGCGCACAGATACGTGAGTGGCCCCTAATTATCTTCTTGTACCGTTTTGAGTAGATTTTTTTTAAGTCTGTTGATTAGCAATGTTTGGGACTCCATTAAACCTCATGGGTTACTGAATGGGTGCACTTCATTAACATCGCTCTCCAAAATGTCAGAATCTGAATCAATTTGTGTGCTCTGGAAAGCATTGGGCTTAAAGCAACATTCCATTCAAACTATCTTTTGGTATTTGTTTCATTAGTCCACTGTTGATACAGTCCCAAAATGTTTTGCATGTCAGCAAGTTTTCAAGATATAGGACTTTCAAAATACAGAAATACAGCGGGTATGATGCGGCTGTATTTCTGCCTGAGTTTCTGATTAAGAGCTCAGAGACACATGAAATGACCCCAGGAATCGATAGAACATGGCTCGGAGATGCCCCAAAACTATATATTTTTTAACTGTTCTGCTTGGTAAAGTCAGGTAGTGATTGACATCTGGGTAGGGTTCATGTAGCAAAATGTTTTGCAGTGGAAAACATCAATCTGTGTTTGTAATTGGACAAGTTCAGGTAGTATCACAGTTTTAAAACGTTTTCTCCCTGCTGAACTTGACCCTATTGTTCTAACAGGAGGTAGGCCAGACGGTGATATACATGGTGGAGATAATCAACACGGTCCAGTCCATCACCCTCAACTACGGCACCATCACCAGAGACTCTCCTGTTAGGTCAGTTATATTTAGTTTCTCCATTGGGGTTTATATGCTGTTACTTAGCAAAGAAAAACACATTCCGATCAAACAAGAGGACATAATAATGCGTTGAATTATTTTGAGTGAAGCATTGTATTCAATAGGAATTACGTTTATTTTTTCAGTGCAGGAATGTATAAAGTAGCTGACTAATTCTGTAATCTGAGTTGACAATAGGTGAGTTGTGACCTCCCTGCTGCTGTTCCCGTTGCTCCTAGGCTGCTGGTTGAGTGCCGGTACACTCCTGGCTCTGTGGTGAGTGTTGGTTTCCTGGTCAAAAGCCCCTCCCTGGGCTCCTCCATTCAGGCCCAGGGGGTGTTGGGGGTCCAGCTCAGGATTGCCAAAGGTATGCAGCTTCAGTTGCTCACATATCTCACCCATTTGCTGCCGTTGTTGGTTCCTCCAACTCCGCACTTCAAGTGGTAGTGGTTAGTCTTGCATGTAAACTTATGAGGATCACTTTTGGAGCATTTAACAGTATGTGAACCATTCAGTCAAGCACCTTGAAATGATACTTTGAAGTTGAACATATTATAGTACACATTAAAGTAACACCCTTTCCCCACTTCCTCTCCAGACGTGCAGTACAGTAGCTTCTACCCCCAGTACCACCGGCCCCTGCAGATGCTCCTGGGTAAACCCTTACACCTTGAGGTGCGTCTGCTCAACCCCCCAGATGACAAAGTGGTCCTGCTGGTACACTACTGCGTGGCCTACCCCAGATCAGGACAGACTGTCTGGGTACTCCTCTATAACGGGTACGCTGCAGGGTTACCTTTGACCTTCTAGGCTCCAACATGTCTGGGTTCAACAACTATAGCGAGCTCCAAAAGTATTTGGACAGTGACAGTTTTGTTGTTTTTGCTCTGTACTCCAGCACTTTGGATTTGAAATGATACTATGAGGTTAACGTGCAGACTGTCGGCTTTTAGTTGAGGGTATTTTCATCCATATCGGGTGAACCGTTTTAGAAATTACAGCACTTTTTGTACATAGTCCTCCCATTTTAGGAGACCAAAAGCATTGGGATAAATTCACTTATGTGTAGTAAAGTAGTCAACAGTTTAGTATTTGGTCCCATATTCCTAGCATGCAATGATTACATCAAGTGTGTGACTCTACAAACCTGTTGGATGCATTTGCTGTTTGTTTTGGTTGTTCAGATTATTTTGTGCTCAGTAGAAATGAATGGTAAGTAATGTACACGTCACTCTTTTTGTAAATAAGAATAAAATGTTTCTAAACACTTCTACATTAATGTGGATGCTACCATGGTTATGGATAGTCCTGAATGAATCATGAATAATAAGTGAGCAAGTTAGACACATATCATACCCCCAAGACATGTTAACCTCTTACCATTAAAATAACAATAAGTGACTTCAAAATGACACAATAGATTGTTTACCATTCATTTCTATTGGGCACAAAATAATTTGAAACACAAACAGCAAATGCATCCAACAAGTTTGAAGTCACAAGCTTGATGTTATCATTGTATGCTAGGAATATGGGACCAAATGCTAAACGTTGGACTACTTTAATACACGTGAGTTTGTCCCAATGCTTTGTCTCCTAAAATGGGGGGAGACTATGTACAAAAGGTGCTGTAACTTCTAAAACGGTTCACCCGATATGGATGAAAATACCCTCATTAAAGTTGAGTCTGCACTTAAACCTCATAGTCATTTTATAATTTCATTTCAGAACAACAAAACATTTCACTGTTCTAATACTTTTGTAGCGAACTATTCTTTGGGGTTCAATTTCAGTAATTCGTTTTACATTATAATATAGTGTAGACAAACTGTACATAGTGTCACTGGGCACACCATCACTGTGATGGAGGGGGAAAAAGTATCTTCAGAAAGAGCTTTTCTTGTTGCGTTGAATAACCACATTCCCACCCCTGCCTCTGTAGGTGTCCTAACCACCTGGACCCGGCCCCTCAGAAGCCTCACCCATCTCCTCCACCCCCACCCTTCCACCAAGGCCAGACACGAAGGTTCACCATCTCCACCTTCCAGTTCCTCACCTCTAGACAGACCCAGAACATGGACGACCATGAGGAGGTGAGGGCTGCCCCCTGCATTAGACCCTTAACCTGGAGGCAATGGCTGTCTTAATACTTTTAAAGGAGGGATCTTCCCCTGTTTTCTTTGCTCCATTCTCAGTGATCTGGCAGGGCATGGCAGGTGAAATTAATGGTGGGAAACCTATCTAGCCCTTTCATCTATCAATAGTCATGAAGAACAGGAGTCTTGAGACATAGCCAAAGGCCAAAAAGAGGCCAGTAAGCAGCACTGTCTGCAGGTGTGGCTGACTTGCTTCTCATCTGACCCTCCCTTTTCCTCTGTTCTCTCTCTCTTCCTCTCAGATTTACTTCATGTGTTCTACTGAAGTGTGTTCACCGCTGGATGGCAGCCTGTGTGTAGAGGGATGTTTCGGCCAGTGACTGTAAGGAACCATACGGACACAATGTTCAACCACTGGATACGGACCAAATGAGAGGGCAGAGCCCTTGTCAAAAGTAGTGCACTATATAGGGAGTAGGGTACCGTTTGGACGCATCCATAATAACATTCACATGCAATTTTTCATAATGATTTAATTTCCAGAAATGGAGCGAAAGGCTGACGTTTGGTGCCATACAGGAAAAATATGGTTTTGTAATTAAGGCTACTTGAATTATTTAAAAGAGAACTAATGCATTTCCTGTCTCTCCGTTCCACAGAGAAAAGACAGACAGAAAGCAATAATCAAGGAAGATTAACTGGTAAGATTTTCTTTGTCGGCAGTGGAACAGATTCAACTTTACTAATACATCTCCATTGTAACTTTTCTCTTTTCTTTCCTCTCCATCTCTCTGTTTTCATCTCCAGGCCCAAGGCTGCTCGTTCACCACTAATAAAAACCCTTAAAAGGAGACTGTGTGTTTCTTGCTCCCAGGCAGTCTAGTGTAGTTTGGATGGCATGAAGCTGACTCCACCAGACTCCTCAATTGTTTACGTTCACACTGACTCGGCCTATGGAGGTTCTAGGGAACGGCATGAACTAACATCCTGGATTTCCAGTGTTGGTCCATACATTGTTATAGCATTCAATGTGATTACTGTGTAAAATAGATTTTGAATAGATTTATAGGTTAGTATTTAGATAAGTCAGCAGACCTTTTCCATATTGCCTATACATACATTATTTCAGCCTATAGTCATTAATTCCCATGAAGACCATACATTTTGACCACTGGGTGTCAGCCAAGCTCTAAACAACCAGGATATAGAATGCCTCCAGAGGCTCTTGATTTGTTCTTGAGGGGTCCAAAGACCTTGACCTGGCTATTGTGTAATAATAGGAGCGCAATCATGTAACCTTATTCAAAATGTTTATTTTATTTACAGCACAGGTTAGTAGGCCTATAGCCTATTCCAAAGGAGGAGCACGAGAATCATGCGTCATTCATACTCTGCTCGTTAAAGAAATCTAGGTACAACTTCAAAATGCTGTGAAAATGAACATGGCCCTCACATGCCCCCCATTTGAAATGTTTGTAAGCACTGCGGCACACTGCGTTTTTTTATGGCGTGTGTGTGTTTGTTTTCTAAGGGAGAGAACGGAAGATATGAGGGCGCACGACCAAGGGGAACGAGGGAGGGAACTACACGAGAGCACCAGAGAGGGGGAGGGAAGATAATTTCCTTTCTGTAACGTACACGCCGCGAGAATACACCGGGATAAGGACGAAAAAACTAGGGAAGACTAAAGGAAATACCGCAGCCCCGTTGTCTTTTGTTTTGGGAATTCACCGAACACAGAACGGAAGACTAACATGGGGAGAGTTCTTCTCGAGGATTGACTTTCAATAACCCTCTCACCATGCGAAAGTCTGGCGAATAGACTGAAAAAGGCAATAGCAGTCAGGGAAGACATGTTTAGTGATTTTAGTCCTGAGCTTGAGGTAGGATGTTGATGTTTTTTCGTAAAATATTTCTGTCTCGGGCACAAATAAGGGGTCAGCGGTGAATGGTCATATTATTCCAGGCACAGTATTTGTATTGTATTTTAGTAGTCTAGTTGTTAATTAGAGGTTAATAAAACGATGTAATAGCCTAGGCCTTCTGCAGACTGAATATTGCTGTACATGACTAACGTTAGTAGGCTAGGCCTAAACACAAGGCTATGAATAGGTGAAAATTAACTACTTTTTTAAAAAATATATTTTTAAACTGCGTCTTATCAATTGCAGTAAGGGCAACAAAAATACCCTTTGACAGAAACAAGCAGTTATCAGTGCTTATATCGAATTTCTTGATCAGATTATACATATCTGATCATCTTTCAAATCAAGGGTTGCATAACAGTGGATATATAGGGGCAGACTATATAAAACCGCAATCGGTTTCTTACAAACAATTTTGACCACAGAAAAGAGTTCGACAGAGGCCAAGGAAAAAAGGGATAGGTGATCATTCTAACAATAGACAGGGAACATCAGGCGTTTTTAAATGTTAATGTCGACCGACGTAGCATCAATCATGCTGCCTGTATCTCGGCCTATCATGGACCGGGATCGAGAGCTCCAGGACACAATGGCCGGGGTGCATCCCAACTTGACCGGGGCTCCTGGCGCAGCTGTCCGGGGAATGAAGCGAGGAGACCCGGCATCTGACGCGCAGACATCGGCAGCTCTGGTGGAATCGGCAGGCGCAGAGTGCAAGCGTCCGCGGATTGACGGATCTGGAGGAGTCGCAGAGGTCGGCCAGGTGAGAGGGAACCGAGAGAGGAGTGGGCAGTTGAATTGACAGTTTTTCGAATTAATACGCCCACTGGCATGCCTTACAGCCAAAACACACAAAGCAAATGGCTGTGTTATAGATGGCTTTGATCTCAAGCTGCTGTTTTCAAGTTAGTTAGGCTGCTAATAGCCTAAATATTCGCTACTGTAAGCATTAAAACGATACATATGGCACGGGAAACACCATGCTAACCCAAGCTATCTAATCTAGCACTCGAATGAGGTCGCTAGGTTAGTTATCTTCCGACCATTTTAATCTATTCACTGGTGTGATGAATTAGCATGTCGCCAGAGAGATATAGGTGTAGGCTATCTCTGCTTTTAGCTCTCCGCCGACTCCGCAAGCAATATATATAGCCTACTAATATCGACGACTACGGAGGCTGCTACAATGTTGCCATGTCTTTTGACGTGTACTCAAAACTGTTACATTTTCCTAAAACGATACAACGCTTCAGCTCTCCTTTCTAATTGTAGGCCTATTCAACGACATTTTTACTTGACTATGCTCTTGCTCTAGCGGTTACATTATTGTGCCCCCTCGAAAGCAGCGGTACTTGGCCTATCTCTATCACTGAGAAAAGGCATGTTTTCAAATAGCAAGTATGTAAACAAAAGTGACCTTTTGTTATGCTAAAACAGTCGTACTTCGTCTGGCGTCTTGGTGTTTATAGAATTAGGTTTATAATGGAAGTGAAATGTTTGCGTGTGTGATTTGGGGGGTTGGGATGAAGGGGAGTGGGGGGGGGGGGGGGGGGAACTCAAAGTAAACAAAGACGTCCCATTTTATTACTGGGATACAATCACTGACTCTTTATTTAGGCCTTTAGTCCTACTGTAACATAAGTCAAACCCACATGCTGTAGTCTATTGCACTTGGCGGTGACATTTGCACCACTTAATGATGCAATTGATGGAACTACCAGTATCATCACAACGGATTTATTTAAACCAAATCAAATTGGTCCGGCTACCCAGTAATTTTCAGTGTTGTCCCATATTTTCCACATCTCTAGAGAAATACATAGGCAGGATGTCACGTGACGCACTAAATGTATCATGTTGCGTTATTAAGTTGCAGCAGGAGGTTAACCGATCCATCCAAAGGTAAAATGCCCATCTCTTTGCCATTGTAAATAGCGGTAATGGAGGTGAATTGGCCAGTTTGCTGCCCTCATGTAATAGTGAGGGAGACTAATGGCTTTAGAGGCAGTTCACCACTATACTCTCCTTCTACAGGGGTGCTGAACGACAGTCTTATAGCATCTAATTCACTTAAAACAGACAGCATGGATGGAAGTGTGTGTGTGTGTGTGTGTGTGTGTGAGGGAGAGGTATGGATGGATCAATGGCCCCTTAGCTCCTAAAAAGGAATTGATAGTCTGTGAGTTGGTCAGTCCGGAAAGGAGCGAGAGACAGAGAACCAGGGAGAAAGATCTTTCCCCCCTCCCTGTTGGATCCCCCCGGTAGACCACCCCTCCCTGGTAGTAGGGAGCAGATTTGCCCTATCACCAGCAGTAAAGAGGCTTTGTTCGCTAGGCTAACGGGATCACCGCTTATTCAGGAGGGGGCATTAGAATCACACTGATCCCTGAGATCCCTATCTACAGGGGGAGGATTAATCACACACACACTGCCTAATGTAGGCGCTAGAGCTTAGTATCATATTTTGGCTACAAAAGCTGGTGATGTACATTTATTGACATTGCATTACATTCCTATTGTCTATTGTAATCAATAGGCTTACACAGTATTATCATACAGACTGTTCATTCTTACTACATTAGATTGAGTACTGTTAATAATTTTCCACTTAGTGAAGACGAGGTACCAGTGCTGTGTTCTTATTCCCCTGACCTGATGCCTCCATTAATATTTCAGCTGAAAGTAGGTTAAGAGATATTAAGCTCTCCTTCCTTAAGCAAGAGCAGCGCTAAGCTTTCCAAGAAACGACTTCATAAATGCATGCTTGCATTTCTCCACATCTGACTTCTTTCCTCTTCCCGGCCTCTCCCCCATGCGTAGGATGAATCATGGAAAGTGTTGTATTATAGGTGACGTTATTCCTCTTAAAGTAGTCAAGTAACTGGACACGTCTCACACACTTCTCTCTCTCAACATTCCCGCTCTCTTTCTTTCTCTCCCTCTCTCATTCTGTCTTACCCTGTACTGAGTGTTATCACATAATGTTTGGCACGCTGCTCATCACACCACATCATGACCTCTGGTTAATGCCAGTAGAATGGGATGTGGTGGTGATAAGCCATCCTGTTCCACCATCACGCAACAGAGGACCATCAGCCATCGCACACTTTGTCATAGACACTATTCAAGTTAGTGTGTGTCTCAAATGGGACCTTATTCCCTACATAGTGCTCTACTTTTGACTATTGGTACCTATTCCCTAATAGGAAATAGTGTGCTTGTGCTATTTTACACATTAAAAGGGGGGGGGGGTCAAAAGTAACAGTCAGTATATAGTATGGCCACCAGCTGCATTAAGTACTGCAGTCCATCTCCTCCTCATGACCTGCACCAGATTTGCCAGTTCTTGCTGTGAGATGTTACCCCACTCTTCCACCAAGGCACCTGCAAGTTCACAGACATTTCTGGGGGGAATGGCCCTCACCCTCCGATCCAACAGGTCCCAGACGTGCTCAATGGGATTGAGATCCGGGCTCTTCGCTGGCCGTGGCAGAACACTGACATTTCTGTCTTGCAGGAAATCACGCACAGAACGAGCAGTATGGCTGGTGGCATTGTCATGCTGGAGGGTCATGTCAGGATGAGCCTGCAGGAGGGGTACCACATGAGGGAGGAGGAGGTCTTCCCTGTAACGCACAGCGTTGAGATTGCCTGCAATGACAACAAGCTCAGTCCGATGATGCTGTGACACACCGTCCCAGACCATGACGGACCCTCCACCTCCAAATCGATCCCGCTCCGGAGTACAGGCCTCAGTGTAACGCTCATTCCTTCGTCGATAAACGCGAATCCGACCATCACCCCTGGTGAGACAAAACCGCGACTCATCAGTGAAGAGCACTTTTTGCCAGTCCTGTCTGGTCCAGTGACGGTGGGTTTGTGCCCATAGGAGACGTTGTTGCCAGTGATGTCTGGTGAGGACCTGCCTTACAACAGGCCTAGAAGCCCTGAGTCCAGCCTTTCTCAGCCTATTGCGGACAGTCTGAGCACTGATGGAGGGATTGTGCATTCCTGGTGTAACTCGGGCAGTTGTTGCCATCCTGTACCTGTCCTGCAGGTGTGATGTTCGGATGTACCGATCCTGTGCAGGTGTTGTTACACGTGGTCTGCCACTGCGAGGACGATCAGCTGTCCGTCCTGTCTCCCTGTAGCACTGTCTTAGGCGTCTCACAGTACGGACATTGTAATTTATTGCCCTGGCTACATCTGCAGTCCTCATGCCTCCTTGCAGCATGGCTAAGGCACGTTCACGCAGATGAGCAGGGACCCTGGGCATCTTTCTTTTGGTGTTTTTCAGAGTCAGTAGAAAGGCCTCTTTAGACCTTAATTGCCTACCGTCTGTAAGCTGTTAGTGTCTTAATGACGTTCCACAGGTGCATGTTCATTAATTGTTTATGGTTCATTGAAGAAGCATGGGAAACAGTGTTTTAAACCCTTTACAAGGAAGATCTGTAAAGTTGTTTGGATTTTTATGAATTATCTTTGAAAGACAGGGTCCTGAAAAGGGGACATTTCTTTTTTTGCTGAGTTTAGTTCAGTCATAACAATAAAAGCTCTAACCTGAATGGGTTTATCCGAATGGTACAATTATGAAGCTGCTATTTCATATTCTTACCCTGGAGCTGCATAGCACTTTAAAAACCTTCATATTTCACTTTGGCTGCGATCCAAAATGCATAGGTAGAAATTAGAATAAGAACCGCAAATCAAGATTTCGGAGATGTCGAGGTTGTCAGATCCAATTTGATTCCTTATGCAGAGCTCCCTGCGTCTGATGTCACGCAGCGTGCGACCCGTGTTCCTAACCTAATAGGGACACGCCTGGGGTGACAGCGGCCAGGATGAATGACTTGACTACAACATTAATGTAGGTGGAGGATCACAGAGCAGCAGACCTGGGTTCAAAACTATTTGAAGTCTTTCAAATGCTTCGAGCGTTTGCTCTAGTCATGCCCGGAGAGCCAGATGGGCCGGGTTTATATATTTGGGGCTATACTTTTGGTCCATTAAAGTCAGGCCAGCTCAATCCAGCACATATTAAATGCTTTGGAATTTGGAATGATTTTGAATAGTGTTTGAACCCAGGTCTGCGGAGTAGTGAGCAGCAGCGCTCAAATGTACTTTCATTTCAGTCCGCCCGACCGAAATAGAATGAAACGTCAGCAAGAAAAATGTTCTCCTCTCCTGCTGTGAGTTTGAGAATATTTATTTAGTTTTGGTCCCATTTCTTTCAGAGGATGATGACGGTCTCCTCCACCGGCTCCACTGACTCAACCCCCAAGTTGTTTATTTTGGGTTCTGTGTAGCTGGGGTTCATTTGTTATCAGTGTATTGCAGGTTGACATTGTCTTGATAAACTGGAAAAAATCTAGAATCAGATTTTCGTGCCCCAGTTCTAGCATCAACCATCAGCAGGAACCATTCAAACTGATCCAAGAGCTGCACATACAGGCAACCTCCACTAAAACCAGCTAAAGCCCCTCTGAAAGCATAGGTCTGAATGTGTAGGTTTTCTGTGTCAAGGGACAAAAATGGGTATAGAGCGCTATAATATACTATTGGATCTTCTGGCTGGCTATGAGGCTTAGAATGTAAGGGCTCTGTGGATGAAATGGAGTCACATCCTCCTGAGTGCATCATGCCTTCTTGGCCCTCAAGTTCTTTGGGAAAAATGGAATGAAATTTGATGTGGTTTCTACTTGGAGTCTACACCATAAGAAAGTGATCCTGTATCACATGATGAGTGAATAACCAGGTGGCCTGTGAAATTAAAGAATCACCCCTACACACACACACACCCTGTGGTTTTGGGAGAGCACTGGATCCATGTGTACAAGGGATTACCACAATCCTGTGAACTGGTGATGTGAGTGAGAAACTTGGACCATTGGAAGTAACGGAACTCCTGTTCACGTTGACACACACACACCTTGCCCTTCTCAACCCATACCTCTGTTTTTGGGTTCTTTTTCACCTCCATCAAGCCCTATCCCGTTCCCTATCCCCCCGGAGTCCCCCCTCTCCTCCCCCATTTCACCATCTGTTGACTTCAAGACATCTTGTTACTTTCTCCTGATCTCTCCCTCTTTTTCCTCCTCCAGTTTGTCTTCAGCTTCTCCTCAACAGAAATAGCCCATTTGTCCATGTGACAAAGACAGAAGGCATAAGTAGAAGTAGCATTTACATACTAGGATGGTTTCTTAAAAGGCTGCAGATGCTAGATGGAGTCACTCCAGTAGATTCACTGTAATGTGTGGGGATAGCACAACTGGTGTGTGTGTATTTATGAGAGTATTTTGGGTGGTTGTGTGCATTAGATTATAGCAACGCCGTTATCCAGAGTGCACGTGTGTATGCGCGTGTCTGAATGTGAGTGAGAGAGAGTATGCATTTTTGTATTAGTGTTTGTCTGAGTGGACATGCTCTGATCAGACAGCTCTACTCTCTCCCCCTCTCCTCTTCCCTCTCCTCTCCTTAAGGAAATTAAGCGCATGACTCTGCTTATGTATGACTTACTGTCTTTGTCCTTCATCTGCATCCCAAATGGCACCCTATATAGTGCACTACTCTGACCAGGGCCATATGTACTTTGTAGGGAATAGGGTGCTATTTGGGACACAGTCCTCGTCTCCTTTGGACAGTTTTTTTAAAACCCCTTTTCTATTTCTCTCTCTTCGTCTAGCCCGGGTTCTTCCCTCGCTTTCCACTCCCCCCTTTTCATCCCTTCATTCTCCTCGATCGCCCTCCTGTTTTTGTTTTTTTAGCTATTCCAGAAATATTTATTCCAGATGTGTTTTTACTGTCTCGCCCCGGCCCTTCCCCCATCCATCTTTCAACATAATTATCCCATTTTGCGGTGCCCCTTAAAAAATGTGTCTGGATTTGACTAGTTTTCTTGCCTGTCTGTCTTCATGACTACAACAGTTCAGGGAATTTACCCACCATTTCAAATAGATGTTTATACTTTATTCATGTTAGTCAGGCTTCTAAAAGGCAATTAATAATTTACTGTTGCCTCAAAAGTCTGTTCTCGCTAAGTACATTTCTGGCTCTCCAGGACACTTACTCAAACGGCAGTGAACAAGCAGAGCAACTCTTCTCTTTACTTTCTACTTTTGAATTCCATAAAAAGTATTATGATGGAGTGTTTGTGTAACAGCGCCTGGGGCTTAAGGTAGATGGCTACAGCACTTATTGTGAGGGCTCAAGCTGTGATGCGCGCAGAGCAAAGTGTTCCCTCCGGGGACAACACAGGCGAGGGACATTGGTTCCAGATGAAAGGGAGATGGGGTGGGGGGAGGAGAAAAACAGAAATGAGAGATGGTTTCTATGTAGCGATACAGAAAAAGACACAGCCAAGCCAATATATTTTATTCCCCTCAAACCAGGCGTATAGTAATTGCTGTAAAAAAGCGCATGCCGTATTTTAATAGAACACATTGCATAAATGCCAGTACATGGTGTTATGCGTGTGAATAAAGTGCATTACAAGTGTGTGTTTTATAATAGACAGTCACAGTTTAATTAACATCGGGTAACCTAACATTAACTGATAGCACAATTGGGGTAGAGGAGATCTTAATGAGGACACTAGGCAAATACTCACCAAATATTTTTAGCTAGCCTACATCTCTCCTTCCATTGTCTCCCTTTCTCTTGCAACACCACCAATTATAACGGAGCAAATAAATGAGCGGAATCGGACAGCGGGTTGCATCAGGGCAGATGATGTGAGGCAGGCAGTATACTCCATGACACTTGTGACCTATTTCTGATTTAAGAGCTACTGTGAGTCTCTCTCTCTCTCTCTCTCTTTTGCCCCCTCCTCCTCCCTCGCTCTTTCTCTCTCTCCCTGTCCTCTCATCTCTCCTAACTAACACACAATAGCTCCACTGGGGTGAGAAGAGAAGAGGACACACCAGGACATTGAGTGGAGGAGCTAGCTAGAGGAGTGTGTGAGGCACAGGCAGAATTAATTTGATTAGTTTGGCCCTTAATGCATCAATTAACTAGAACATGGAATATACTGGTGAGGAGAGAGAGAGAGAGAGATGATTGGCTGGAAAGAGAGAGGGAATAAAGGAGTGAAGATTATAGAATTTAAAACGGACACAAAAAAGGGTCGAACTTGTAAAATGGATGTAAAAATTGATAATAATTGGTGACCTTTGTTTTTGGCTGGACAAACTAAACTACATTTTTCTTGTTTTTAAATGTCTGCTCTCTTCTATTTCAGAACAATGACCCCCTGACCCTTGGTTACCATGGATACCCACCCCACAGTCAGGTAAGACTACGGTCTCCTTAACATAATTGCATACATATGAGACATTCACATATTTTATGATATATTTTCATTATCTTATGTCCTCCATTGTCCTCTTCCATATATGGGCAACGACATATTTACATTTTTTCTAAGCTCTTCAAGCCACAAGTTGGTGATGTAGATTTAGATAATTTCTGATTGGGAGCCTGACAGCTTCATATAACATTCACTGTATTAGTTTTCTCTTTGTCAATATGGGTTTACATTAGGTATATGGTTGCTCTCTAGATTTATTTTGATTTCCTATTTGCCCTTGGATAGCCATAAAATATGTTAGGAATTTAGATGCAATTCAATATCAAGATATGCGCAAACATACGGCATGGATGACGTACAGCTATCCTGCCAGTAGCTTCAATTTCTCCCTCACTATTCTAACACATAAGGGAGTTTGTTTTGAGTATATACTACAGTGTTTTCTATTATACGTTTGGACACACCTACTCATTCCAGAGTTTTTCTTTATTTTTACTATTTTCTACATTGTAGAATAATATTGAAGACATCAAAACTATGAAATAACACATATGGAATCATGTAGTAACCAAAAAAGTGTTAAACAAATCAAAATATATGTTATATTTGAGATTCTTCAAAGTAGCCACCCTTTGCCTTGATGACAGCTTTGCACACTCTTGGCATTCTCTCAACCGGCTTCACCTGGAATGCTTTTCCAACTGTCTTGAAGGAGTTCCCACATATGCTGAGCACTTGTTGGCTTCTTTTCCTTCACTCTGCCGTCCGACTCTTGTCATTCTCTCAACCAGCTTCATGAGGTGTGCCTTGTTAAAAGTTAATTTGTGGAATTTCTTTCCTTCTTAATGCGTTTGAGCCAATCAGTTGTGTTGTGACAAGGTAGGGGGGGGGGGGGTATACAGAAGATAGCTCTATTTGGTAAAAGACCAAGTCCATATTATGGCAAGAACAGCTCAAATAAGCAAAGAGAAACGACAGTCCATCATTACTTTAAGACATGAAGGTCAGTCAATTCGGAAAATTTCAAGAACTTTGTCGCAAAAACCATCAAGCGCTATGATGAAACTGGCTCTCATGAGGGACCGCCACAGGAAAGGAAGACCCAGAGTTACCTCTGCTGCAGAGGATAAATTCATTAGAGTAACTGCACCTCAGATTGCAGCCCAAATAAATGCTTCACAGAGTTCAAGTAACAGACACATCTCAACATCAACTGTTCAGAGGAGACTGCGTGAATCAGGCCTTCATGGTCGATTTGCTGCAAAGAAACCACTACTAAAAGACACCAATAAGAAGAAGAGACTTGCTTGGGCAAAGAAACACGAGCAATGGACATTTAGAGCGGTGGAAATCTGTCCTTTGGTCTGATGAGTCCAAGTTTGAGATTTTTGGTTCCAACCGCCGTGTCTTTGTGAGACGCAGAGTAGGTGAACGGATGATCTCTGCATGTGTGGTTCCCACCATAAACCATGGAGGTGTGGGGGTGCTTTGCTGGTGACCCTGTCGGTGATTTATTTAGAATTCAAGGAACACTTAACCAGCATGACTACCACAGCATTCTGCAGCGATACGCCATCCCATCTGGTTTGCACTTAGTGGGACTATCATTTGTTCTTCAACAGGACAATGACCCAAAACACACCTCCAGGCTGTGTAAGGCCTATTTTACCAAGAGGGAGCATGATGGAGTGCTGCATCAGATGACCTGGCCTCCAAAATCACCCGACCTCAACCCAATTGAGATGGTTTGGGATGAGTTGGACTGCAGAGTGAAGGAAAAGCTGCCAACAAGTGCTCAGCATATGTGGGAACTCCTTCAATACTGTTGGAAAAGCATTCCACATGAAGCTGATTGAGAGAATGCCAAGAGTGTGCAAAGCTGACATCAAGGCAAAGAGTGGCTACTTTGAAGAATCTCAAATATAAAATATATTTTGATTTGTTTAACACTTTTTTGGTTACTACATGATTCCATATGTGTTATTTCATCATTTTGATGTCTTCCCTATTATTCTAAAATGTAGAAAATATTAAGAATAAAGAAAAACCCTGGAATGAGTAGGTGTCCAAACTTTTGACTGGCACTATATATATTATTATTTTGTTTTATTATTATTATTATTTTGTTTCTAATTTTTGGGGTGGTAAAATGTTTTCAATGTAAACTTAAACCAGATATAAAGTATTTGCCACCGCTGCTGAAAGAAATCCTAGCGGAAACACTGTACTAACTGAGATACATTACTGTTTGTGTGTGTGCCCTGCAGTTTACACAGCCCATATGACAATAAAAACAATACATAGGGTCCTACCTCATAAATGTGTGTGTGTGTGTGTACCGTATGTCCAGTGTGTTTACTAGGGTGTGTATTAGTGGCTGATTGTGTTATTAGGCGGTTTAGTTGGTGTTGTTAATCCTCAGATCATCCTCCATTCATCCTCCATGCTCTTTCCATAATCCCCTCATCCCTCTCTCTCTTTATCCCTCGCTCCCTCTCACTACGGATGCCGTTGACCATCATTCATCATGACCGTTTCACTTGGTTGACAATGTATGCATAGAATTAGAATTACTAGAATGGATATTCCCATTCCACTGTCTATATATCTATATACAGTGGGGGGGAAAAATTATTTAGTCAGCCACAAATTGTGCAAGTTCTCCCACTTAAAAAGATGAGAGAGGCCTGTAATTTTCATCATAGGTACACGTCAACTATGACAGACAAAATGAGAGAAAAAATCCAGAAAATCACATTGTAGGATTTTTTATGAATTTATTTGCAAATTATGGTGGAAAATAAGTATTTGGTCACCTACAAACAAGCAAGATTTCTGGCTCTCACAGACCTGTAACTTCTTCTTAAGAGGCTCCTCTGTCCTCCACTCGTTACCTGTATTAATGGCACCTGTTTGAACTTGTTATCAGTATAAAAGACACCTGTCCACAACCTCAAACAGTCACACTCCAAACTCCACTATGGCCAAGACCAAAGAGCTGTCAAAGGACACCAGAAACAAAATTGTAGACCTGCACCAGGCTGGGAAGACTGAATCTGCAATAGGTAAGCAGCTTGGTATGAAGAAATCAACTGTGGGAGCAATTATTAGGAAATGGAAGACATACAAGACCACTGATAATCTCCCTCGATCTGGGGCTCCACGCAAGATCTCACCCCGTGGGGTCAAAATGATCACAAGAACGGTGAGCAAAAATCCCAGAACCACACGGGGGGGCCTAGTGAATGACCTGCAGAGAGCTGGGACCAAAGTAACAAAGCCTACCATCAGTAACACACTACGCCGCCAGGGACTCAAATCCTGCAGTGCCAGACGTGTCCCCCTGCTTAAGCCAGTACATGTCCAGGCCCGTCTGAAGTTTGCTAGAGTGCATTTGGATGATCCACAAGAGGATTGGGAGAATGTCATATGGTCAGATGAAACCAAAATATAACTTTTTGGTAAAAACTCAACTCGTCGTGTTTGGAGGACAAAGAATGCTGAGTTGCATCCAAAGAACACCATACCTACTGTGAAGCATGGGGGTAGAAACATCATGCTTTGGGGCTGTTTTTCTGCAAAGGGACCAGGACGACTGATCCGTGTAAAGGAAAAAATGAATGGGGCCATGTATCGTGAGATTTTGAGTGAAAACCTCCTTCCATCAGCAAGGGCATTGAAGATGAAACGTGGCTGGGTCTTTCAGCATGACAATGATCCCAAACACACCGCCCGGGCAACGAAGGAGTGGCTTCGTAAGAAGCATTTCAAGGTCCTGGAGTGGCCTAGTCAGTCTCCAGATCTCAACCCCATAGAAAATCTTTGGAGGGAGTTGAAAGTCTGTGTTGCCCAGCGACAGCCCCAAAACATCACTGCTCTAGAGGAGATCTGCATGGAGGAATGGGCCAAAATACCAGCAACAGTGTGTGAAAACCTTGTGAAGACTTACAGAAAACGTTTGACCTGTGTCATTGCCAACAAAGGGTATATAACAAAGTATTGAGAAACTTTTGTTATTGACCAAATACTTATTTTCCACCATAATTTGCAAATAAATTCATAAAAAATCCTACAATGTGATTTTCTGGAAATGTTTTTCTCATTTTGTCTGTCATAGTTCTTGTGTACCTATGATGATAAATTACAGGCCTCTCATCTTTTTAAGTGGGAGAACTTGCACAATTGGTGGCTGACTAAATACTTTTCCCCCCACTGTATGTCTGTATCCTTGGTTGTTGTTCTGCAGCCAAATGGAAGAATACAGACTGTCCTCAAGTCCACTTACTGTATACCTCTGTGTAGTGTGGAATGACAGCTAAGGGAAAACAATGGCATGGTATCCTTTCACTGAATATACCTAAAATGTGTACATTCTTAAATGACTCCTGCTCAAGGAAGCAGTATAAAGGAAAAAGCCATTTGGACCACGGAGGTATCGTGAGGGGATGTTTGCCTGAAGAGGTTAAAAACACGAGACAAGATGACAAGTCACTCACAAAGCCCCCTGAGGTAGAGGTGCTAAACTGTCACTGACAGCATGAGACGAGGTGATCAAAGACTTTCCGATGGAAGAGCCTAGAGAGTGTCACGCAGGAGACGAAGAGAGTGAGAGAAAAACAGAGAGGAGAAAGGAGAGGGAGGAGGGAAACAAGCTTCTGTTCTCTCTTTCTCTCACGCTGTAGTCTCGCTCTCTCTCTCTGTGGTCTCTCCCAGTGGTGCGAGCAGCCCCAGTTTAACTCACCTACATGGAGAGAAAGAGAACAGGGGGAGGGAGATACTGCGACACGCAGGGAGAGAGAGAAGTAGGGGAGGGGAAAGTTTGCAGGTGTGACAGCAAGGGAAAGGAGGCGGCGTAGAGGGAGGGGAGGAGGAGGTGTGGCTGGGGAGCGTCAGGCTATCTGGGTGAGCGAGGGAGGGATGAGCAGTGAACAGGCAAGGGCACAGCAGCGAAACAGAAGGCTGGGGGTAGAGGGAAAGGAAAG